AAACACAAGTCATTCTATTCCACATTTGCCTGGCGTACATGTGATTCAATATATGCCTGGCTTGCACGTGAATGACTGGCTGGCTTAAAAAGCTCCGTTATGAAGGGGTTACAACATGTGAAATGTATTACACGAGTCAGCTATCGTATGCTGGTTCATTTGTGGATATGAATGTACTGTTACAATATAAAAAAATGGTTTCTCGATTGTAACCCCGTGACTGGAGCATGTTGACAAGCCATCATTTATGGAGCTTGTTGAGGTTCACTGAACACATCCGATGCTATTGAAAAACGACATTACGTGCTTAGCCAGGCAATGCAAAGGGGCAGTGAATGACCCGGATATTTGTTCAAGAACATGCTGTGGGCACGATGTTACCTTTAATGCAGCAGTTCTAAACTGCTAGTCGCAGCCCCCCTGCAAGCCTTCCCAGGGGCCACAGGCTGCAGTATCGGGTACGTTCCAGTGACAAAACATACAAACACACACCATGAAGAAAAATCGTTACTAACATCGCGTTAACTAGAGGTGTGGACGTGTGCCCACTCTAATGCGGCCTTAGAAACCTCGGTTGCATTTGATGCGTGGGGGGAGCACAGGAACCAGTGATCTTGATTGGAGGGACTGACATACAAAAACAAATATAAAGTGAGCTAAGATCAAACATTGGCTCTGTTGTACTTGAATGTACTCTTGGTGAATTAAAGTCAAGTCAACAGAAAATGTTCAATAAGAATTGGAGGTTAAGACACATCGTTTAGCAGGACAAGACCATGAAAAGCTGTGTTAATGTCGACACGGAATAACATTACGTAATTTTAATAGATTCAATAGCTATTTTTGTATAATTTCTTCACCGTACCTCAACTCATTTGAACGTGTTTATGTATTTAATAATTTCCCCACTTTTACTCCAATTGTGCTATAGGCATTATACCATTAAACCTCTTGCACGACACTAACCGCGTGTGCTGGAGAGAGAACAGTGGAAGAAGATGACAATGTAAAACTGCCTCCAAAATTTAAACAGGTGACCTCTGTTATGTACACCGTCGGGAACGCACTTTTCTACAAGTTCTGCTACGGAGAAATGCCTGTTGCAAGGCAGTAAATGTGATATTTTTCAATCTCAGAGCTGTAATTTTACCAAATTTAATATAAAAAACACTATTTATCTCAATATTGTTTTTATGTGTTGTAGTTGTTGTGAACAGGCTGAGAACATCAACTCGCTACACTTGAGAACCTGATTAAATAATCACAAGTGGCTGGCTGGATTCAAATCCACGATCTCAGTGGTGCCAACTCAATGCTCAAACCCTTGCAACGCTGCTTGTTTTTTTATGCTAGAGTAGGGCTGAAATCTGGAAATAATCACCAAAGTGTGTTGCCTTTTCAAGACTCTAGGGCATCACTGGATAATCAGTGTATAAGGTTTAAAATGCACTTTCCTGTAAGCATTAGTCATAAAATGTACAATGTGTTTGCTGGTTAAATAACAAGTATAACCCGTAAAAACAAAGTTTTTCACTATAAATCCTTTATATGCGTGGCGGCTAGAGTCCTCTCGTCCTCTGGCTTGCGATGGCTGCCACCTATGGGTCAGATGATTGCATGGCAGCATTAAGCAATTGGTAATTAAATATATTTTTGTGCTAAAAAGTGTAAAATTTTGGAACAAAATTTTCACGAACATTAATTGTCACGCACAACGAGTCTGTGTGGAAAATGTCAGCTCGATTGGATCACGGGAAGTGGGTTAAAAAACGACCGAAAGATTTGCACGGTCCTAAGCAAGCAAGCAAGTTAACTTAATATAAAGGATTTAAAAATACATGTATTGTATGTACGCATGAGTTACTATACACCAAATGTAAATTGTATTCTGATACCTAAACAGCAAATTAGCTATTTATTTGGCTAAAACAATCCACCCACTAACATGCGACTTCCAATTGCACCTAACATCAGCTAAATTCTGCAAAGCAGCTTATTTCTTGGCATGACAGATTTCCAGCGCTATTGCTGAATATTTTTATTGAATAAAATACTATACTGTATGTGTACAATATTTTCTTACTACAATACACATGGGTAATGACAGGGTGACACCTGCCGGCCTGTAGGGGTAATTACGGTTATGGCTGCATTACATAATGCCTTATTATAAGGAGGGCGTATCTGGGTAAAGGTGAAGGGCGGAGTCAGTCGAGAAGCTCAGGGAACCAGCCCGAAGCTTCTAGAAAGGGGGCGTGGCCAGAGGTGGAGCTTGGCAGCGCCGGGCAGATATAAGGGGGACCGAACCAAAGGTTCGGGGCTGTTCTGCGGGTCCTGGCTACATCGCTGCTCGTCGTCATCTCTTCGTCTTCGACCACGTGGCTGTTCTTCTGCAAGACCATCTCCGTCGCCGCCGCTATGCTAGTCGAACAGCTAGCGTAGTGTATGACGGAGATGGGCTGCGTGTTAGGATCGCCTATGCGTAGCTGCGTTACGAAGTGTATCGCCCAGTGTGCTCTTAATAAATAAGAAGCCTTCTACTGGACGTGTCTCGGAAGTCGCTCACTACACATGTATAGATGTATACTTAAAAAATTCGAGCTCGGTATTATGTACTGGACAGCATTAAACACAAGTTAAATCATGGAGTTCAGTGATAAAATGTGAACACTTTATATGAAAGTGTTCACATTTTAGTTGTGCCATGAGAATAAAATGTGCATTTATAAGGTGCTTAAAATGCTACGATATTTCAAATGTTCATATTTAACACCAAACCATGAAAAAATAAAACATCACCGGGAATAAAAGAGGGTAATCTATTTAAGCAATATCCATAACAATGTGCAGAATTTTCATTGACATTAAAATTCTCCAGTACTTAATTTATTTTTTTGCTATCAGTACAAAATAATAACTAAATGGAAATCTCTCATTTATATCCGTGAAATATAGAATTACATTATTATAAGAGTGATTGGGCATTCCTTAAATGGATCATGATGATTATGTTTTCATCCGAGTTGGATTCCCCACTTGATGTACAATGAATTTTAGTGATAACAAAAATGTGGGCGTGACAATAATCTTTTTAATACGAGAGACTGAACGTGATCTTTCTTTGTCGAGGTGGGTGGTGGTGGATGTGCAAAACACAGCGGGATTAAATCGAACACACGGACTCACAATCAGCTACAAGGTCTCGTCTGGTCACGTTCACTAGGTTTGAGTTGGCTGCCATTTCCAAGTGGAAGCCAATTGATCTCTTTACGGAGTGTCCAGGCAGTGCAACTGCAAAGGGGGTCCATAAGTTTGCGGGACCCAGGTACCTCACTACAAAGGGGACATTGAACAAGGCCCCCATTTCATTCGTTGCACAATGACCCGTTTAAAATAACGGTAGAATACTGGTTTCACAGGCTGGCTGAATTCCCAACATCAGAATTTTGGGCAAGTAGAACTACGGTAGATCACTAAATACGTGAATATAAAAGGTTGTCGATGGCTGGGAAGATGTGATTCTACTAATTATCAATAACAATATTTATGTCGTGAACCTTTTACTCGTAAATATTTCTGAAAATTTAGTAACTCAGAAAATTATAGAAACTCGACTGGAGCTGTCCATGTACTCGAGTTCTGGGAGAAATCAGGTCAACTCGAGTCAACTGAAGTTGAATGTTCCCGATTAACTTGATATTAGCGGAGCAAGAGCTGGAAGTTAAATCAATAGAATGAAATCGAACGCTTCAGACAGGACACTGACTTTTGGAAGCAGGATCCATAAGCAAGTGATTCATTTAAACAGATATAGCTATAACTTCATTTTTCCCAGATGAGTCCTCAATGAGAATAAAAATCAGATCACTAATTTATTACCATCAATAACATGTTGAATCTTGATTTTAAGCTTTTGTGACTGCAGGAATCCATACGCTTTGGTTCTTTCGGCAAAGTCACGTCGGTTGAAATAAAAGAACATGTTGAAACCAAAAATGTACGTTATAGTACTTTCCCACAATTAATTGTTAAGGTCTTAATTTTTTCGTTGTATATATCCCAAACAGCATCCACCTGCGTCATCATATGATATTCACTATCCGTCAGTTCAGGAAAATGAACAAGGATATGTCAGTGTCACTAACCTCCAAAACATTTTAATATTCAATGTACAAAACTAATTACACTATTGGACTGAGCAAATAATATGGGACAATGAGAGTAAGGAGAGGGGCTGGGTGGATGAGATATTAATATGGGGGGGGGGGTGTAAGGCCGTGCGCTGTGTGGTAAGGTAAAGCAAGCAACGTGTGGGGTGCGGGAAGGGAAAACTGGGGAGAGGCTGCGGCTCTATCCAGTCAAATCAGGATACTGCCTACACCAAGAAGAGATATTAAGGGCCATTGGCCGAAACGTCCACAATGAGGATTTACTCTTTTGGGCAGTGCTACTGATGAATGTCTTCATAGGTGTTTGTGCGCCACGATTAACGAAACCGGTCTAAGCGTACGTTTTGTTGTATCTCTGCATCACTGCTGCCTATCAGTCCGGTCACATTTGCTCAAATGTGTTTTGATGGGAGATTTTTGACAAGAGGGGCACAATGCACTGCCTCAGGAACTGCTGAAGGGGTTTTGCATGATATGTACACGCAAAGTCAGAGTGCTTTTTACACGCTTTGCGTGTTGTTGGAAGCCATTGCCAACGCTGCATCACGAATATTTGCATAAAGGATCCCATTTCATGGTAGAACGGAGGAATAAGCATGGCATAAAAAAAACACAATGTCGTGTATAATGAAGTACGTACAAACACCAGAAACACGTGCATTTTAAAAACCACAGACAGCGCTGCAATATTGCTGCACAATCGCTTACAGGAGCAGCGACATTCCTGTACAGTAACTGCAGTTGCATTTGCCAAGCGCACGTCTGAACGCGTTACTACCACCCTCCACGTGCAACGCATGCGAGTCTGGCGGAGGGGCGTGTCCACGGTACCTCGGCGGGAAGCTCCTTCCCCCTCGTCTTCCTCCTCGCTCGCTTCTCCTCGGCTTTCCGTTCGGCGTCGGGGTCAAGCGTCCTCTTCTTCTTCTTCCTCGTCACCTCGCCGACGTCCGTCGCTTTCTCGCGCTTCCCCTTGGCCATGGTGGCCGCGCGGCTCGAGTGATGCGGGAGGTGGTGGTGGGGGGAGAGTAGTTTTAGGTTTGCGAGTCTTTACACGGCGCCTGTTGCTGTTTGTTGCACAGCGAGAGGCGGATAGGCGAAGCTGCTCCTTTGCGGCTCGCTTGCGGCTCGCTCTGGCAATGGAAAAGCAGCCACGTGCGGGAAAACCACGTGTGGCGCGCGACCCGGAAGTAGCGAGCTGGGTGTCCCCGCGCACGCGCACTGGCGACTGCGTGTGGGGGGGGGGCGCGCGACGTCACGTGGTTTGCGTGGCACGGAGGGCGGAATCCGAGGAGCGGTGAAGCTCTTTGTCGCGAGTGCACACTCAGTGTCTACATCTAGATTTGAAGCTTTCGTGGCTGCAATGATTCATACTCTTAGGTTTTTTCGGTAAAGTCACGTAGGTAAAAATAATAGAAATAATAATAGAAATAAAATAATAAATTACGACGTTTCGGAGGCAACACAAGACTCCGAAACATCGTGATTTATTCTTTTATTTCTATAATTTTTGTTTCTTTTTATTATGTATTTTTACCTACGTGACTTTACCGAAAAAACCTAAGAGTAGTGTCTACATCCTTTGCAGCCAGAGAGTGGCGTTCAGGAAACAACTACTACTGTACAGTATATGAACATTATACACAAAAACGCACGTACCATCACTGAGGATTATGTTTAACAGGACTGACTGCCAAGCCTCAGAAAATTTAAACCAGTTTAGTTCGGCTGCTTAAATCAGTCTACCTGCTTGGATTGAAATTCGCATGCTTAAATCATAGTCTGCCTGCTGAAATCAAAGTTTGCCCGGTTGTCACAATTAGCCTGCTTAAATCAAAGTCTGGCTGATTGAATTTACCTACTGAAATCAAAGTTTGCCTCCTATAGTCAAAGTTTTGCATGATGAAATCAAATATGAATGTTTGAACTGGAGTTTTGCTGCTTACATACATTTTAGTGGAATACATTGATGAACTAAAATGTTGCAATTTTATACGTATAGCATACTCTTTGGTTTCTACCTACGTGACTTAACCAAAGAGTATGGATTCCTGCAGTCACGAAAGCTTCAAATCACGTTTATTATTCTCTTGTAGTTTTCAAATTTAGCGTGCATACTAGTTAGCATTGACTTTTATGTTAAAATCAATATTTCTAATTTCCTGCCTTGTATTTTGTACACAAGATGGCTGGGAAATTAACCTCCACAAGTTGCGTTATGGTGCAGGCATTGAATTTCACATTTATCCTGTGACATGACAGCCGATTCCACATACAACCCGGCTTTAAGCGCAGTTCAGTTTGAGAAGGGAGTCCAAATGCCCAATTCTGCAACTCCATGGCATCGATTCGACAAGGCTGGACTTTCATGGGAACATATTGTTGGGCCTGGCACATAGTCGCATGGATTTCACTGGCCATGGAAATACATGTTAAACATGGTAATATGTTTCTTTTCTAACGTAGATCAATATGCAGAAACTAATGTGTTTTTAAATTAAATTGTAAAAACAGATCACTTCGTAAAGTATCTTTCATGTCACAACAGTGTGTGACCGTGAGAACCTGGTCTAATCTAAATATAGGACCAGTCAGATTAAAAAGACATCTGGCCGTATGAGTTCTCATGCATTGGAATGTTGTATTATGTTGTATAGCTTTACAGAGGCCCTCAACACCCCCTTAAGGGTTCTGTAAACAAATAATTCAATTTTGCAACAAAAAATCTGAGCATGTGTAATAAAGGACTCGACCACGAAGTCTGGCTTGGTGTCCTTTATTCGGTCCTTCCTCGTAACCCACACGGCTGTCCTTTTATTAGACTTCTATACCGACACTGATACTGCTGTTAACTCCGTCACGCCAACAGTTCCTCTGTTGGTCTCCCGTCGTCGTTGTAGCCTTGCTGGCTGTTATCCTCACGCAGCCCCCACTGGCTGTTCTCTCTGCAGTTTCTCCTCTCGTCGCTCTCGTAGCCTCTCTCTCTCCTCTCGTTGCTCTTGTAGCCTTTCCCTCACACACAGCCTCGCCGGCTGTGTTCACTGCGGCTCCCCGACCGCCTTCTCTCCAGCAGCCCCACTGCTGTCTCTCCCTCTCAGGTCCGCTGGCTGTTCCTTTAGCTGGCCACCGCTGGCCGCCGTGCCACCCCTTCTGGCTTTGCCCACGTGGCCTTACTCTGGTCCAGTCTCACTCGTTCTGCCCTCCTCTTCCGGTCTCATCTCTTAAGAACCTTAACCTTGCTCCCACGTCACCTAACTCCACCTCTCCGTGACGTCACATCCGGGAGGTCGCCCGCGCCCGCATTACACCACCCTCCCCCGTGGAGAAAAACCCAGCCGACCTCGGCTGAACAACACCAACAGTAATGCGGGCGAACCCGAGCGTAACACACCAAAGGACACCAAGCATGCAATATAACAGTAAGAACAATCAACACAACTCAACAATCAAATAACGTAGCAGAAGCAGGCAATAAATACACAGTAAGAACAACGCAACATAACAATCAACGAAACACAAGGGATTTAGAGCGTGTGCGGGTCGCCGGCCCGTCCCGGACGGTCGGCGGCCCATCCGCGGAACGGGAACGTGATTGAGTTTGAGGAGCGACAGGGTGAAATCCCCCTGTCGCTGTTGGAAGTCCACCAACGTCCCGTGTCCCTGAAGGATCAGTCTTGGGCGTGTCCCGCGGATGTGTCTGCAGCGGGGTCGGAAGGGCTGCAGGGCTCGAAGGACCCGTAGATCTGGCAGGCACCCTCCGAGCAGGGCGCCTCGTCCCCTCCGGTGTCAAGGCCGGCCTGCCTGGAACAGGTACGACAGGCGCTCTAGCAAGATCAATGGACGCAGGCGGGGGAGAGTCGGCAGCAACAGACCCCGGCAAGGCAACATTGGGAGATGAAGCATCATGTAGGGGAGCAACATACGGTTTCAAGCGCGACGTGTGAACAAACCAGCGGCGAGAACCAATCTGAACACGCGCCGACTGAGGGTTAGGAACCTCAATGAGGCGGACGGGCCCTTGCCAAGGTTTGTGAAATTTGGGAGAGGTACCCGGCCGCACCTGCGGGCAATGGAGCCAGGCCAGGTCCCCAACCTTCCAGGGGCACTCCCCCTTGGAACGCCGTGCATACCTCTCATTCCGGGCCTGAGCTTTGGCCGTAGCCACACGGGCACTCTCCCGCGCCTCCGAGACCCGGCGAACAGTGTCCCGAATGTAGTCAGGAAGCGGTTTACAAGGTCCCCTTACACCGGTTCCCATCTGCACATCCATTGGCGGCACGTTTTCCCGACCATACATAAGGTAAAACGGCGAATAACCCGTAGCCGCATGAGGAGTCATCCTGTACGCCGAAAGCACCCCCGGGATGTGCAGGTCCCAATCCGATTGTTGCTCACTCACCGTGTGGCACAGCATGGCAGACAATGTCCGGTTTAGCCGCTCAACCATACCATCCGTTTGCGGATGGTATGGGGATGTCCGGACCTTCTTAGTCCCTAGGCCCGCGCATACTTCCGCCAATAACTTAGAAGAAAAATTTCGGCCCTGATCCGTAAGGAGTCTCTCCGGCGCACCCTTGTCCATAACATATCCGAACAAAAAGGCGTCGGTAATGGCCGCGGCCGATTGGTCGGGCAACGGCCAGGCCATCGGCCAACGGGAGAGGTACTCAACCCCGACCAGCAAATATTTATTACCCCTCGCCGAAGGTGGGAAAGGTCCCAAAATGTCCAGTGCCACCAATTCATTGACCCGAGACACCTGAATTGACTGTAAGGGTGGCACATAAGGATGTTTAGGTGGCTTACACCGGGCACAGTCAGGGCACGCGCGGACGTGCCCCACGACATCCGTCGCCATGCCGTGCCAAAAATAATGACGTTGCAACGTCAACAAGGTCTTCTGCACACCCAGATGTAATAGCGTGTCACAATGGAGAGTTCTAATCAACTCGTATCGTAGGGACGCAGGCACTACTAGACGCCAGTGTTCCTGGAGACTTTCCCTCCACATAAGCAGACCATCTCGGACCGCGGTTTCCGGCGCACCCTCCGTAACCGGACCCCCAATCTCCACTTTGGATCGCTTCCGCAAGGACACTAACGACTCATCCATCATTTGCTCCCTTATCCAAACAGACCGTGGCAGATTCAAAACCCCATCAGTCGGCCCCGGTTCCACAGGAGCATCCGACTTCTCCACAGCCAATACCACCGGCTGAGGGGGGGGTAGGCTGGGCGCACATCTCTGCGTCCCCGACGCACATTTGCAAGGGGAGCGCTGCGGCAATCTAGAAAGTGCGTCTGCGTTCGCATGGCGCACCCCTTTATGATGGTGAATTTGAAATGAAAATTCTTGTAGCGTGTCCAACCAACGCGACAGCTGGCCGGAAGGTTGATCCATTTTAAGGGCATATTGCAAGGCCGCATGATCCGTACGTACGATAAAGGAACGGCCGTACAGGTACGGTCGAAACTGACGTAGGAAAAAAACAACGGCTAGGAGTTCCCTGCGAGTGACACAGTAGCGGGTTTCCGCGGGCGACAAGACCCGGCTACCATACGCAACGACGCGCTCTACGCCCCCTTTAGACTGAGACAACACCGCGCCAATACCTGTGTCGCTCGCATCCGTATCAAGAATGAACGGTTGATTGAAATCCGGATAATCCAATGTTGGGGCGGTAGCCAACAGATTACGCAGACTCTGAAAGGCCGCCTCTTCTGGCGGTCCCCACGCAAACTTACGTCCCTTACCCGTAAGGAGGTGCAAGGGCCTCGCGATGGTCGCAAAATTCGGTACAAATCTTCGATAATACGAGGCAAATCCCAGAAAGCGACGTACATCCCCCACGGTGGCCGGAGTTGGCCAATCTCGGACGCACGCCGTTTTTTCCGGGTCCGTAGACACCCCCTCAGCACTCACGATGTGCCCCAAATAACGGACAGACCGTTGCAGTAGATGACATTTCTTTGGTTTAAATTTCAAGTTCGCGGAGCGCATCCTCGCGAACACCGTCTCCAGCCGCCTTAAATGTTCATCAAATGTGCGGCTGAAGACGATAATATCGTCCAAATATATGAGACATGTCTCCCACTGCAACCCCGTCAAAACGAGCTCCATGAGCCTTTGAAATGTGGCAGGGGCCGCATTCAGCCCCATCGGAAGGCAGTTAAATTGAAACAACCCCTGCGGCGTACGGAATGCAGTCTTCTCCCGTGAGGGCTCGTCAAGGGGAAGCTGCCAAAATCCCGAAGAGAGGTCCAGTGTAGAGAAAAACTTAGCCCCCGACAATGCGTCGAGGGAGTCGTCCATACGCGGCAGGGGATACGCATCTGCCACCGATATCTTATTCAATTTTCGAAAGTCAACACAGAATCGCAATTTGCCATCCTTTTTCTTAACCAAAACCACAGGCGCGCCCCATGGGCTGTTTGACGGCGATATAATATCCGCAGCCAACATATCTTCCACTGCCCCCCGAACGTGTTCTCGCTCGGCGGGACTCATTCGGTGCGAATTCAACCGAATAGGGGCAGCGTCGCCTGTATCAATGTGATGGTGAAGCAACGAGGTGCGTCCCAAATCCAAATCATTGGAGCTGAACACATCGGAATACGTCAATAACAATTTGTGAAGCGCACCCCATTGATCCACAGACAGGGAAGAATTTCCGTCACATAAGCTAGCAATCCAGCGGTCATCCGAAGCCACAGGCTCGGAAACACCAGCAACCACTCCCTGGCTATGCGAACAATCGTGAGCCGTAAATGCCGTGGTGGCATGTGCCACAACCGTGCCGGCCGGGACGCAAACATTTTCAGTACCCGCATTGAGCACCTGCAAAAACGGTAATTGATCTGGCCGGACGATGGTCTGCGCTCCAACCAGCGCCAACCCGGCCGTTATCGAGGCTGAAGGTGACAACAAGATCCCAACCGCTCCCAGCCGACCTGGCAGGGGCTTCCGATACCGCAGGGGAATAAGCATCTGTGAACCAGGTGGAATGTCAACAGATGCCACGGATAGCGCCTGCACTTGTACGGCCGAAGCAGGTCGCCCCCAGGGTGACGGCAGAAACGAAATTTGACGGCCACCCGGCAGTTCAATACAATTCTCATTAATTTTGATCAAAATAGGCATCTTAGCCAGAAAATCAGTGCCCAATAAACAAGGAACTGCCAAGGATCTTGAAATCAACACAACGCCCGAGGCCGACACATCCCCAATAGATATTTTAGCGTCCACCTGGCCCACGATGCCCATACTACCCCCGTTCGCAGCGACGCACGACCCGTAAACCGGACGCACGGCCCCGGGTGGAATGCCTAACAGATGAAAAATGACATCCGAAATAATAGTCGCGGACGCCCCGGAATCGACCAAAATGCGCACGTCCACCCCTTGTATAGACCCCGGCACGGTGGACGAACCCGTAGCGGCCGCGACAACCCTCCGTGCCAATTTGCGCCACTGCGTCACAGAGCGACAAGGCCCCGTCGAAGGTCTCTCTTTAACAACAACACCATGACCGCACAACGAAGGTGATGGGTGAGGTGTAAAGCCTTGCCGGGTGTCTGGTGCGTGCCGACTTGCCTGTTTCGGTGGATCCTTGGGCGGCTTGGCCGGTAATGAGGCCTCCTGTTGCGGCGGACCCGGGATGCGGGCCCAGCAGTCCTTTGCGTAGTGGCCCCTCCGTCCGCAGCGGAAACAATCGGCGTCGTTGCGCCGAAGCGCAGGCCTTGCATCGCGCCGGCCTCGTATCGATGGTGCAGCACGAGAGGCCGGTCCACCGCGGCTTGACCATGGCCCCGAGGCGGCCGTCAGCTCCTGAGGGCCCCCCCCATCCGGCACGTATACCGACTTCGTAGGGTCCCATCCCAGAGCGCCACCCTCTGCAACGGGCCCCCCTGTCCACGCCGCAACTTGTTTCCACCGTCGTAGGTTGAATTGCGCATCGAGACATTTCGCCGCCGCCCGGGAGGTGAGCTTCTCATGCCCGCACACCGGCTTGGGAATCCCAAGATCCCGCGACAGCTCGAGCATCTTGCCCAAGATGAGAGGCTCGAGCAGGTCAGGTGTTGTATCTGGATACGCGGCCATAGCCAAATCAAGCACCGCACCCCTGTACGCCACAGGCGACTCCTCGGGCGCTCGTTGTCGTTGAGCGAATCGCCGATGCGCGTCGTCAGGTGGCTCGTAGGCGTCGGCCATTTCTTGAAAAACTCCGTATAAAGTCCTCTTCTTCTCGGCCCTAATGGAGCGAAAAAAACGAACAGATTCGTCGTCCAGAAGAGTCGGTAACACTTCTAAGGCCTCAGCATCGGTCCATCTCGCAGAACGGACCGCCGCCAAAAATCTGCAGGCGAAAGCGCTCCAGTCGCCCCCAATGGCGAATTCTTTGACCGTGGTGAGATGGCGACTCCGACTCCGCTTTACTCCGCCCTCCGCCGATGGTTCCTCCGGAGGCAAATTCAAAATGGCGTCGAACCGCGGCGTGGTCAAGATGGCGGTTTCCCGCCGCGGAACGCGCAAGATGGCGGCCTCCTGCCGCGTGGCCAATGGCGCCGGGAGTGAAGATACCGTGGCGGCCTGTGGAGCACTCTCCGCTCTCTCCGTCGCCGTCCTTGGGGTGACGAGATGACACAATTGGCCCAGGACATCCTTGAGAGTCTCCAGTTGCTCCGCCACCTGCAGCCATCGCAGATCAGCGTCTGATGTTGTCGGCGGCCCTGACACTGCGGCTACATCTTCAACTCCCGTCCCCGCACTCGTTTCAGCAGGGCACTCCTCCACCACCCCGGCAGGATACATGTTTGGAGGGAAGTCTTCGTCTTCGGACGAAGAAGCCGATGCTGGCGCTGGAACATTTTTCTTTCTCACTTGTTTCGACATGCCGTTGCACTTCCGACACCAATGTAATAAAGGACTCGACCACGAAGTCTGGCTTGGTGTCCTTTATTCGGTCCTTCCTCGTAACCCACACGGCTGTCCTTTTATTAGACTTCTATACCGACACTGATACTGCTGTTAACTCCGTCACGCCAACAGTTCCTCTGTTGGTCTCCCGTCGTCGTTGTAGCCTTGCTGGCTGTTATCCTCACGCAGCCCCCACTGGCTGTTCTCTCTGCAGTTTCTCCTCTCGTCGCTCTCGTAGCCTCTCTCTCTCCTCTCGTTGCTCTTGTAGCCTTTCCCTCACACACAGCCTCGCCGGCTGTGTTCACTGCGGCTCCCCGACCGCCTTCTCTCCAGCAGCCCCACTGCTGTCTCTCCCTCTCAGGTCCGCTGGCTGTTCCTTTAGCTGGCCACCGCTGGCCGCCGTGCCACCCCTTCTGGCTTTGCCCACGTGGCCTTACTCTGGTCCAGTCTCACTCGTTCTGCCCTCCTCTTCCGGTCTCATCTCTTAAGAACCTTAACCTTGCTCCCACGTCACCTAACTCCACCTCTCCGTGACGTCACATCCGGGAGGTCGCCCGCGCCCGCATTACACATGTAAACCCAACATCATGCAAAACATTTTTACAATTTGGGTTTGCAGATAATTTAGATTTATATTACTCTTCAATCAGAATGGAGTAAGTTAATTCCCAGTTGGTGAGCGAAGCAGGCCATCATTATTTTTGTTGTTGATAAAATGAGTGGCATTTTGTGGAAAATCTTACGAAGACTAGCCACTGTCATATGTAGGTGCAATTTCCATTTATGGCTTAGGATCACCAACAGATGTTGACTACAAAAACTAATTAGAGTATGGAGAGAATTTGACCTAAATACTCCCAGGATCATAAGTTGACAAAATTAATTTACTGCAGTGAATCCGATGTTACAATTTTAACAACAATAGTTGACCGACCACAACATTACATAGTTTAACTGGACTGAATTGCAATGCAAAGTAATAGTGTTTCAAATCAGATTGTTAGTATTCATTTAACTCTCATGCTAGTCAGAATTCTCTCAAGCATTTGAATACAGCTTAACACACCTTAACAAGTTTTATTTACAGAAAGGCGTAAATCCTATTCTTATCTTGGTTTGAAGCTTTCGTGACTGCAGGAATCCATACTCTTTGATTCTTTCGGTAAAGTCACGTAGGTAGAAATAAAATAAAATATAAAACAAATAATATTCTTATGTTTCATACTTTGAAACTGGCAAAAAAATATATATCATCAACGCCCGAGATTTTACACTCCGCCCTCTACCCCACCCATCCATCGTCGGCCCCGCCCACCCTTGGTCGGCCCCGCCCATCCATGGTCGGCCCCGCCCATCCATCATCGGCCCCGCCCACCCTTGGTCGGCCCCGCCCATCCATGGTCGGCCCCGCCCACCCATCATCGGCCCCGCCCACACTTGGTCGGCCCCGCCCATCCATGGTCGGCCCCGCCCACCCATCATCGGCCCCGCCCACCCTTGGTCGGCCCCGCCCATCCATGGTCGGCCCCGCCTATCCACGATCATCTCCGCTCCTTCTCACCATCAGCCCCGCCCCCCGATATTTAGCTCCGCCCCTCACCCCCCACAACGTCGCCTCAACGTCACGTGGTGCCTCCACGACGACGCGCGATTGGCTGCACTCCGTACCCCACGTGGTGGTGGTGGTGCTTGTTGCGGCGGCGGCGGCAATGGCAGTGGCGGCGCATGCGAGGTGCGAAATGTAAACACGGCGCCTCGGCGGACAAAAGACAGCAGCAGCAGCAGCGGCGGTGGTTGTTGGTGGCCCCTCGGTGAAGACGACTGCGGCGGCGGCGGGCAGGCGGGCAGGCGGCAGCGGAAACAACGAACGCGGCAGAATCTCGGCGACGTCCCCCGCGGTAAGCGAACTGCGCCGTCGCCGCGGATTTGGATGTGTTACGTGAAGTGGGGGGTGGAGGTGGGTTGTGTGAGGGGTTGTGATGGGGGGTGGTTGTGATGGGGGGTTATGATGAGGGGTTGTTATGGGGGGGGGGTCGTGAGGGGGTTGTGAGGGGGGGTTGGGGGGGGCGTGAGGGCCTAGGGCGTCCAGGCCTCGCGGTGACGTCATCGTCGATTCCCCGGGTGCGCGGAGTGTCCAGTGAGAGGTGGCGCTCTATATATAAACACACACTCACACACACGGGGTTGTTTTATCGCATAGAGGCAAAACAAACGAGTGATTATAAACCCAACATGAACTCAACACGTAAGAGTGGCCTGAGCAACAAGAAAAATGCAACGATTTATCGAAAGAATCGATCCCCGGGTTGATGCGCCCGACTTGTAGATTCTCACCAAGAGCGATCTTCGCTTTTTTTTATCGACGGTGCAGTGTCTGGCAGGGCTGGGGGAGAGGTCAAACGCCACGCCACTGAAGCAGGTTACGCGGATCGTAAGGAGATGTTCGTATAATGTTCGTGGGCGATCAGGTTTGTGTGGAGACGTGCGGAATCGGGGCGTTGGTGTCGATACCTGTGCCGACGCGGAGCGCGGCGTTACGCAAGTTTGAGGTTTACATCAATTCTTTCGGTTTTTTTTAAGTTGTACAATACTGTGTTTCATAGGTTGGGAACGATTCACCATTCCAAGAGTTGATATTCACTGTTCAGTGTTAAGTTATATGTAGAAATCTATTCTTAATTATGTTTTACGGTATTACTTTTGCGCAGCCGGGTGTGTCTCAACGAACCGGTGTCATGAAACATACAGGCGTCGTTTATGAACAATAAACTACATCATTCTCATACGTCAGATTTGGATACATTACCTTGCCTTTAGTGTAGAACATTTAATCGACGAATCGTGTCGCGCCCAACGCAGAAGCCCAAACTTCGCCGCAGCACTTTGACTAAAGTCACCCACAGTGCTAACGGTTGTGTGGATTCTTCTCTACGCGAACCAACGTGGGTGGACGACGTAAGGAAGGCATCGGACTCGTGAATCCAACCAAGAGTTGCGTGCATGGGGGAGTGGGGCGGTGAGTCGTCACATTCTCCCGCATCGCTGTTAATTTCACCGAAGCGGCCCTTGGAGGTGTGGCGACCCCGGCCCGTGGACGTTGGCCCCGGCTTGGGCTGTGAAGAGGCAGTGGGGTGGGGGGGGAGGAACACGTGGGGCCCGAACGACCGAACACCTCGTGAGACGGGTGGCAGCGACACGTGTGTATTCGAAAGTGCACTGTTACGTGCAGTGCGAGGCGGAGTGAAGAGAGAGCAGTTGCAGTAAGTAAATGGTGTCCCTGTGAGCAGAGAGAGAGAGAGGGTGGGTTGAGGTGTGAAGGGGGTAGTGAGAGCAGTTGTGGAGGGGAGAGGTAGGAAGCGGAGTGAAATGGTGTAGGAGCGACGAGATATGAGGGGGATATTAATTTAATATGATAATAGGTTTTTACCCTTTTTTCTGGCAACAAAACAGGTGTTAAGATCTTTAAACACCAAACTGAAACTTTTTACAAGGAATCATGTCTGCATTAACCACTGTTGTGGTCAGAATGCAAACAAAAAATATATTCTGATAATATATTCATTGTCCTTGAAACTGATTGGTCCACACCAGAGACAGCTTTCTTTTGAGCCTCGTCTCAAACGGTGTTATTAATTTAATAGCTAACGTAAGTTGAAAATCCAGCTTATGGCTTTAGAGACATTGAATACCACGTGCCCCCTGGAGAAGGCTCGAAGTAGACACGAGGTCACGATGTGTTCCACTTTTGCCCCACATTTGCCTTTTGGGCGATTCGCTTATTTTACACGTGTGGAAAAGGTGTTTGCACCTGCCGTGGCTATGTTCGGATATTGCTGTGTTCGGACAAAGCTATGTTCGGATACGTTTTCTCATTGCTCAAGATGTGGAGTTTGGAGAGTGGCAATGAGGAGGGGAGGATAGAAGACATGATGATTGAATGTAGAGAACCAGGGCAAATTAAAATAGAGAGAATCGGGGGAAAGATGAGTTGTGTGTGGGAGTGAGGAGAGAGGGAGTGACGAGATGAGTTTGAGGAGAAACGATAAGAGTGGGAAAAGGGGGTTGAGAAGAGAGGGCATAAAAAGTAATGACAGGGGGATTGAATAACGAGTATAAATATATTAACGTTGTGTGGGAGTGAGGGCAGAGGGAATAAGTCTAACAGTTACAGTCATGTGTTAATGCGATGTTGGAGGCAGTGGGAGTCGGTTGAGATCTATGAGGAGAGTGAGTGTTGAGGGGAATAAGTAAAGGGGGTAAGGGGAGAATAAATGAGGAGAGTAATAAGAGGAGAGGGGTAAGGAGAGGAGGAATGAGGGCTGTGTGTGTTCTGCCCCCATGAATGCTTTTCCGCAGCCGTGGCAACTCTGTACACGCGGCACACCCGCCCAAAAAGACGTGTTTGAGCAAAACACCCACCCAGGTGCCGGTTGTAACTTAATGCCTGCCGGTTGTGTACACTACTCTGTGCTTGTCTAACTATTCAAAAGTTTTATGTTGACTTTGCTTACATTGTGATGCGACTTAAGTGTTTAACAATTTCCTTGTTGGTGCTCTGTGTTTTTTTTTGCAGTAGGCCACCTCGCCGAGTGACCATTTAAAAAGCAAATAAAAATGTCACTGTACAGCTTTCTTTTGGAGCCCATAACTTGTCACGCGTGGAACAGCGACCGCACACGTAAGCACAAGCTTAATATTCTGGCCTCAAATTCACTTGGGAGAGTTAGCAACTTTTGCATTCTGAAAGTTCTCATCACTTTTAAGCTAAGTAGAAGGCTGCCCGAGGTCAACACCGAGTAGCTATTGTGTTGTTTTTTTCACTTCAGGATTTATGTTGAAGGTCGTGCAAAGGAAAACATAAACTATCCCGATGCCAAATACTATACATAGACTCTGACGTTGTGACATTTGCATCCAGCTCGGCACGGGAATGACAACTGTTTTCTTTCATGCTTAGCGATGAATGTGACATTGAGGAAGCACACGTCTGCTATGCCATAAACCAACCAAAGTGTTTTTTTTACTTTTGTATAATACTGTCAAGTGGGTGTATATGAATAATTATTCTACATTATATTTAATATAAAAGTTACAACACGTTTGATTACTTACATTTATAATCACAATCAAACCGTTTTTTATATATAGCTTTAATATCAATCTGACAATTACTCGCTTTGAGATTTAAACTCTCCACTTAATTGATTGCTTAAAATAATTAGAAAAGCACATACATTGCTATTCATATGATGACAGTGTGTCTTAATTGTATTGCAATGATTATCTTAAATGTCGTGTGTTTTGAAGATAATGATACCAATTCTGTGATTTACCCTGTAGAGATCGCCATCAGCCCAAATAATCACGAGGTTCACATTTATCAGAGGAATGGGAGCCAGTGGAGTAAAGTGCATGAATTGAAGGAGCATAATGGTCACATCACTGGTAAGTATATTGCTTGACCTGTCAGCCTTAAATTTTTCTCTTCCTGCCCCTTGTATCTTGTAATATGCTGCACTGTGTCCTTGTGAACCAAACCACCTCTACTTCAAGGTGTTGTCCAGATACTTTGTTGTCTCGCTTCCGCGATCTCTTTCCCTAGATCTCACTAGTGATGCACAGCATTTTCCGAAAGATGTTGCCTTATCACTAACTTCTATAAGATCAATACTCTACATTGCTCTTTGTAATAATTTGTCATTCTTTCAACCGAGCTTCTTTTGACCATTCTTAGTTGACCTACATCTCTTGTTCGATTCCTACACTAATTAGGTTTCATGGCGCACAGTTTTTCAACAGTAACCTTTTAAAATTCTGTCCTTATTTGGTTGAGGGTAAAAATATGATGAATGGAGATTTACTTGTATTGTGGTTCATAATTTGTTTAATACATTTAATTTAAATAAGGGGCCTTCTTCAGAGGATGCCTACAATAGATAGTTTTCTCTTGCGCTTTTGAAATTTAAACTATGTAGTTGACACTTTGTGCTGTGAATATATGCTACTATATTAATTTTCAATGAAAGAAACTAAACAAAATGTACTTTGACTATGTAAAAAGTGAGTCAGACATGCAAGGTAAGTTATTTGCATACTTAGTCATCAAAATGATTCATTCAAACAGGATTTAATCAAACAAATTCCAAAACATGTATTGTCTTGTCCCAATGTTGTGCGTATGTGTGCTAGTATGCATGTTCTATTCTGTGGTGGGAAAGTACATTTTCAGTACCCTTGACTTCTTAATTCCATAGCAGTCCAAGTAAAACACATTTATATTTGGAGTTGCATGGCATCTTAGCATGTCTGGGGAGACTATAAGCAGTATTTTTTTTCTCAGAAAATAAACAAACCTTGGTTTAGAAAATTGTCATGTTCTTTTAGCAATAATAATTCACAGCTCTCTTAGTCCACTGTTGGATCAAGGCATTGCCACACCATGTTAGTCATGGGGGTCATTCTGTTGTAAAATGTTGTTTAATTTATCGTTTAAAAGGCATTGACTGGGCATCACGGAGCAATCGCATTGTAACTTGTGGTTCCGACCGCAATGCGTACGTGTGGACGCTCAAAGAGGGCGTTTGGAAACCAACACTGGTCATCCTCCGTATTAACCGAGCAGCCACTTGCGTGAAGTGGTCACCGCGGGAAAACAAATTTGCTGTTGGCAGTGGCGCGAGACTCATCTCTGTGTGTTACTTCGAGCAGGAGAATGACTGGTGAGGAATTGGTGCATCTTCAGTTGCATTTGCTTCAGGTTTTTCCATAAGGCAAAGTGTTGTACTTTTAGGAACACTTATCACACACTAGTGTCCAGGTCTTCATGTTGTTTTTGTGTAGTTTATGACGTTAATGGTACCTTTGTTTACAGCCCATTGTCAATCCACTGATGGGTGAAGGTCTCTCTATACCGTGTCAGTCAGGTGGTTGTTTGACCATACTTCACTAAACTTGACAGTGCTGGATGGTAAAGTGGGAGGGAGAGGGCCCAGGACTGCTTCAGCCATCACATGCCGTTTGATGTTAGCCATGGCCAGATATTGAACTTCTGTTTCTTTTGTCCATCGCACAGTGCACTAACCATTGGTCGAACAAGTTTGAATTCCAGCAATGGGTAACATCAGTGGCAAGTCATGTGAACCGGGTTTTTCTTGTTCCCTTCAAATTGTAATAACTTTTGCGGTGTAATATGGTCAAACAAACCGTTGACATACGGTATGAGGAGGCCTTCATACAGCAGGTGGTTTGGCAAAATGCAGAAAATTTACTATAATAATTTATGATATATGGAATGTGTTGGCTCTAGAAAACATGTAAATCAGGACCTTAATCATTGCGATTTCACTTTTAAATACAATGTATTATATTAAATGACATATAAATACTGTAATATCAGTGTTCTTTACATCCAGACAGTATCTACTGAGTGGCCCAAACGTGGACAAAAGGTTTATAAATTTTAATAAATCACGGTTTTTTTCATTTATTTTAACAAATGTTTAAACTTATTGCGTGCATGAATTCTCTTTTGAATTAATTTAAGACTTTTAAATTATTTACAGCTGCCCTAAGCATACACCAATACTCATTCACCTTCAGTACTGGTTCATCTTCAGTTAATGTTTTTTATATTTTTTAATATCAGATAAAGTAGAAAAATATATATTCATGATAGACGACATATTAACTCCAAGAATAAACAAGAAAAATGTTTTAATGCCAGTGTTCAAATAAATGAAATAACCTTGTGTCCTGACTTTTGGGCCACCCTGTATATCCAAATTACACATTGAATGTAAAATATACTAACGTTACTATTTCTCCTTTTCAGTTAGCATTTATTTAGAAGTTTTCCGTTGCCATGTCTTGCACACAGTAGTCAACAACATACAGTAATAGAGCACAAGATCCCTATTACTTTAATATGACACTACATTGTCTTCTCCCCAGGAGACATCAGCACATGCTACATGCCTAATTCAATGTTGTATATTTTTAAGGTGGGTGAGCAAACACATAAAGAAGCCGATTCGATCGACAGTGCTGAGCCTTGACTGGCATCCCAATAATGTTTTGCTAGTGGCAGGCTCTTGTGACTTCAAATGCCGGTGAGTACTGAGTGGCTTTTTCAGAAAGTGATAATTGTAATGTGATCCTGTCCTCAGTTGCTCATTAATCCCTTTCATGTTGAATGTGCTAATGTAGTTTAAAAAAGGTGTTTCTGCTTTTTGAGACCTAGATATCGCTTCAACAGGGGCAACATGCTCGAACATTTTGTCAAAAGGATATGGTACTACGTATTGGGCAGTAGAGGGCAGTGCAGCAAGATACATTATTTTATTGTCTGCTTCCATGTCTATGATCCTCTACTTCACAAACTGTTACTGACCAGCATGGGGAAGTATGGTCAAATAACCCTTATGGCATGCATGGCATAGGAAGACCATCCATCATTGCACTGACAAAAGGGCTGTACATGTTATAGGTGGAACTTAACGCATTTCATTTTGGCTACACAAATTGCTGGAAATGTATTTTCATCGTGAATTCTGATATAGTTAAATGTTAAAAGGGTTTATTCCCCTGACTGAAATAGGTTGATTTCATTTCACAGCAAAATAAATGTGTGTACCTACTAAAATTAAATATAGATGTTTATAAATATTATTACAGGACCATCTTGTCCATAAATCTAATTAGTTTGTCAAAAAACTAAAAAATATATTTCGTGTCAACAAAGCTACATTTCTCCGATATCGTTGTATCATTCATCACCAATAGCTTTGCTGTATAATGCCCTATAGAGACTGGCCGTTGCCACTCAATATAATTATGCCGGACTAAACCGCTTACCGCACACAATTATTCCAAGTTACTTATAGCCTGGCCCTTTTAAAATTAAGCATGCAACCCCCAGTGAATATATAACGGTAGAAGTTATAACAGTGAAAAGTATGGCCTTTCAGACCACAGGGTTATTGATTTCAGATTGCAGCTATCGCTTTACAGTGCATATATCACTACTTCTGCTACATAATTTAACCCTTGCAGCAATTGTGTTGCCTATAAAAGAGCAAAATTTATCCAGTGTCATATTCTCAATGGAGGGAGCACTTGACCAATGGATTGCACCCTGCATGACAAACCTGGTTACCCCAGTTAAATTCTTGGCCAAGGCTAAGACAAATGATATAGAATGAACCAGTCTTGCCCGCCAGTCTTCACAGTCACTCACCGGCATAGTAAATTATAGTTAAACAACCCCATAGTGGATTGACAAAGGGCTGCAAATTATTATAATATATGTTTTTTTCAGCAGCTTCACATCAACACTTTAAAGTTTGGATTTAAAACATATCTAGTCTTAGAGATACATTTTAGGCATTAGATGTAATGCCATTCCGATTAAATATTTAAATAACTCCATTTTTTGCCCATGCTACACTATACATTAAAACAGAATTACTGTAACAACTACAAACCAATACAAGACAATTTAGTGGTACATGCAATGCATAAACAAAGATAATTTTATATCTGCTATAAATGTGTCCATAATTGTTATAATTGTATGATAAGGATCTATGCATAACCTTTCGTCATAAACTCTTAAAGCAGCATAATTAAATAAATGCAGTGTGCATTGCTATGTGCAGAGTCTACTCTTCATACATCAAGGAGGTTGAGGAGAAGCCTTCGCCTACACCTTGGGGGATCAAGATGCCTTTTGGGTCCATGATGGCGGAGTTTGGAGGAGGTGGAGGCTGGGTTCATGGCGTGTGCTTCTCAGGCTCTGGAAACAAAGTGGCCTGGGTTAGCCATGACAGCACCATCTCAATAGCCGACGCCACACGAAACATGGAGTAAGCATGTACACCCTTCTTCCTGCTCAGCAGCTGGACATCAAGTCCTTAAGAAATGTGGCAAGGGTTTAATGTAGCCTAATCTTTGCCAAATGGTACACGAGATAATATTTTGCCACTTGCAGAACAAATATTCTTGGTAATCTTTCTCCCAAAAAGTTAATAACAATATCTTTTATCCAGAAAAGCTTCACTGAATCTGAAGATTATCTTTCAGGAGGGTTTTCCATTGAGATGCTTGCTCAATTCAGTTTGAATTATTGCCAGCTGAGAGGGGAAACTGAAGTACCCAGAGAAAACCCAAGCATATGAGGGGTTTTACACTCAAAGCTGCACACAGTCAATCCATTGCTGTGCTGCCATCTCCCTTCCCCTTCACAATCCATACCTACAACACTTGGCATTCCCAAGGAATCAAACCGTACCAACGAAGCACAATCCTCGTTTAACTGCAGAGATTCCAACACATTGTGCATTGTCAAGTCCTCAACTTTAAGAAATTCTTGAATTCATATCTGCAGAGGTTTTTTAAAGCAATGTTTCTAGATGTGGCAGTGGTGGCTGTATTAACAATCCACTTTTTTAGAGTATGCAGTTTATCTTCTTGGTTCTTTCGGTAAAGTCACGTAGAAGGGAAGTAATAAAATAATAAGACGGCTGCTTGCGTTGTAGCCGAAACGTCGTGAGAATTATTTTATTTTATTATGTTTTATTTTTATTTTATTACTTCCCTTCTACGTGACTTTACCGAAAGAACCAAGAAGATGAATCCCTGCAGTCACGAAAGCTTGAAATCGAAAAGTATGCAGTTTGTCAAGTTAACTATTGTAAGTGAAAAATCACTGAAATGTGATTTTTTTTAAATAAATGTAAAAATTCCCTCCTGTATACATAAATTAATTAGTTCCTTTTCATTTATACAAGCTTAGTGGCAACAAATATAAGTGACAAATGTTTTTGTCTTTAAACACTTATTCAATTGTTCATCAAAGTACTGCCATTGTTGCTGATCGGATTGGCACATCGATCAAATTTGCCATGTGGATTCTTGCCATGTAGACCTTCTCGTGTTCTTGATATACAGCAGCAGGGCTGTTCCCTTCAGTGGCCATAGTTGGAATGACAATTTTGATTAGAGCTATAACTTATTTTGCTGACGCTTTATCAGCGTGTACAGCCAAGGCATGTGGACATATTTTGAAAGAATGTTTTAATGCAAATTCTGCATGTAGATTTATAGTTAATGGGTCGGTGTTCTATTAAATAAATAACATACATATATAAATTAAATGCACACCTGTCTTTTGCCAGCTTATTTATACGTTCTAAAAAACACCACATTAAAGTGCTACTAAAAAAGACCCATTGGCGTGCGGACATTTTTACACCTTTATAATTTCAACTACGCATTCTGCTTTTCAACAAAGATGGTTGCCGGTATTCATTTTCAAACCACCACAACTGCTTTGTACTAGGTCAGACTGTCAAATGTGCTGCTGGATGAGGGCCTTCCCCACACTGGGTGTTGGGGGTGGTATGACCATATGTGATCATGCTACTCAGTGCGTTTTGGTGAAGTCGGGGTTACAAGGATTTGTTCAGAATTCACTTGCCTCTTATGTTAGCCAGGAAGTAAACTTACTTAGCCTGAATTGGATTCTTGTATAATTTAATTCTTAATACAGTAGTACTTGTGCAAAATATGTTCAATGACGCATTTCTGCGAAGGATTCACCAAAGTGGACACTGGATTTCTGTTTAGGCATAGACATCCAGTGCCATAACTGTTCCCAATATAAACAGTCACACTTCCGCAAACCCAAAGCTATATTTAGTTGTTCCTCCCTTGTCAATAAACATCATAACATTTTTAAATGTATGCTTTTGCACTGATGTATTTTTTCATGACATGTTATATCCATTTGTTTCTCATGTAATCATGAATACTGTCAATGCATAGATGCCCATTGACCTAAGAATGGGAGCCTTATAAAAGTAATTAATATATGCTGCAGTCTTGTTGCCTTGTTTATTATTTGAACATTGTTATAAGCAGTCATGATGGCATTCATGGAAATTTATCAGAAGAAACAAACTAAATGCACATGCCATGTTCGACAAAATGTAGCTGCACGTGTGAATGGATTATATACTTTCTGAGTGTTTAAACTGATACTTAATTATGTTTGAACTGGTTATTAGAATAACTTCGAGGTAAAACTGACACTAAAAGCCACGTTATTTCTTTAGGTGGTATTCGATTGGACTATTTTGCTCCCTGTGAAAATAAATGGATACAAATTTGGGGATTTAGAGTACTTTTCTAATATCCGATTCTATTTGCCAATTTCTAATAGCAAGTGTAGCAATGACAGCCATTTTTTGTGTTTGTATTTATATACAATATGAATATATTTTTCAAGTTATATGCCTGTGCTTGTTTCCACATGTATACCGAGTGTTTGTTTAAATGTGTAATGTTTTTGTTAAAATCTTCCTAAACCTGCAGGTCTTCCCATCTGAAAACAGAATTTCTTCCACTGTTGAGCATCATTTTTGTCACAGAAAACAGCATTGTATCTGCGGTAGGTTTTTTTAATCCTTTACACCTTTGATTTACCATAGGATTTATAATATCTTTTTATATGTAACTTTGGACTTATTACTATATGCATACGTTTCTGATTACTGATTTGTTCTAGATTAAATTTGCTTTGCTGGAACAATTTCTAGGATTGTTCTGAAAAATCATGCACTTTTGATCCCATAATGCAATATTACGGTTTATAACATCTCTGCTATGTGTGGGATCCCCTTCCACGGTCAACTTGGCTTAAAAAGAGATTGAAATTGAATGGTTCATTACAATTGTCCATTTGTGCCTATTACCAAAAATACTAGCATACACTTTAAACTGTAGCCAGCTGGTTAGTAATAAGCACCACTACTAAAGCTCACTAGGTAAAGTATGTGACATGGGCAGTAATGTTTGATATTGGGAAACAACGGGCATCTGTCCCATTGCAGGGTCACGACTGCTGCCCCCTGCTGTTTGTGCATGACGACCGGGGAGTGCTGTCCTTCTCAAGCAAGCTGGACATCCCCAAGCAGAGTCTGCAACGCAACCTCTCAGCCATGGAGCGCTTCCGCAACATGGACAAGAGGGCGTCGGCGGAGCATCAGGACACCACGCTTCACACACTGCACCAAAACAGCATCACGTGAGGCTCCGCCCCTCCCTTGCCACACCATTGCGGGAGCGTACACATGCGGAGATTCCCACCCTTCGGCATGCAGAGTTGGTGCCTCCTGGGGGGCAGTATATCATGTAGGTTGCTGGCCTACTTGTGGAGTTTTGAGTGTCATACCCTCGTGTTTTGGTTTTCTCCATTCTTGCTCATTATGACGTGTAGTAGTCACTTCAGAGACACTAATAGTAGGAAGCACACATGTTTATTCTACACTTCCACAGTAGAGGGGATAACTACACACGGGTCAGGAGGGCTGGCACACTGCCTGACCCACAATGCCGAGGCGGTGGAGACTGGGACAAAGACTTGCATAGACGATGGGTTCCATTCCAAACGACAGCCCCGACCCAGCGTCAGGACCTCCCTTTTATCCTCCCCAGCGTGGCCTGGCTCCACCCTCGGCCACGCCTCCTTCTGGAACCTACCAGAAGGGTCTGGGATTCTCCCCACGTGTCCCCTCTGTCACCTTTACCCTACAACCCTTACCCCGGTCTATCACGTACCCTGCTGGCAGACCGGCTGCTGTGTCCTCAAATCCCTCCTCTGCCAGCAACCGGCACTATGCGCTCCAGTGGCACACTTCACCTGCTCTGCTGGTAGACCGGGCTACCACACCCACAATCCCGCTCTCTACCAGTGACCAGCGCGCTACGCGCCCTAGTGACCCATTCTATGTCACTACACATGTAAAAAATACATTTGCGAGGGTTAGGTTTTTTTAAATCTGTGCGAAAGTTCAATTCACGAATTTATATCCTATGTTTATCTATTACAAAAGCCTGGTGTTCCGTTTGTCCGTCAACTAAATTATGAAAGCCTTTCAGAAGGCCTGAATCAAAAAGTTATAGAAAGTGGACCCCTCCACCAGATGTGGGGGTAAAATGTTGACCCAACAGGTATCCAAAAATTGTCCACCCCCCACAAATAAAATTTCACCACAGGAGCTAGATTAAGGTGGCCACAGGCCCGCTGTGTTCGTCTGAACATATGGGCGAAAATTTATGTTTCACAGCATTCATCTTGTAATGCACGCATAAATGACATCCATAGACTTAGTTAAATTGTACAATAATACCAATTGATAAATAATACAAAACACATCAATATATTATTCTATACATTTGGAAGGTTTATTTACCTTGGATGGGAGTGCAATGCTGATACTACTGTATTAAATTCTCCAAAATACAACTGTCAGCGGTAGCAGAATGCGCGTGCAAACAGGGACACTCAATTGATTTTTATAATGTTGAAGTTCTATGCAAAACCAGCTACTACTGGCCAAAACTAATTAGAGAATATATCGAAATTGAAAGAAATAAAAAATAACTTTAACCGTTAGGATAGCTACCGCCTTAGTACTGGGTGGAAGCGAATCCTCAAATAATACATTATTTAAATACATGCCAACAAAGATTCATCAGTTATTTATCCGTTGTCATGTATGCTTGCATCACACCTTCAAAACTATTTGCATTTGAATTCCTCATATATCACATTGATAGTACTTCAATCTGGATTACCGTTGGTAGGCTATTTTAATAAACACCATAGACAGGAAGGAGAAGGTCAAAGGGCTCGCATAACGCATAATGTACTTTGCCTCAGTAATCCCCCCCCCCCCACGTGGCGCAGAAGCGTGGTCACCACATCTACGCCTCTATATAAGGAACGAAACAGTAAGACTTCTCCACAAATCTGGCTGTCGCCTGATGACGCTAGTTGTAATTACTGGCGAAACGTCTTACTTGGATTGTAAATGTTGTGGCTTTGCTCTCCAACACACCAGTGTGTTGTACGAGTGACGAATTGGCATGTTCTGTTTACGTGACAACCCTTACTAGTTGGCTGTGTCGGGTGGTGGCGGGTTTTAACGACACATTTATATCTTTATCCGATCTAACCTAAAAAAAACCTCTAATTTCGTCCTGTCATTTTTATTTTATCCTTCCCTCCATTGGTCTACATTCCATTATTAATTTGCCCATCTATCGTCTTATGTTATTGCGAGATTTCGTGCCCAACTAAATGTTATTTATTTTCACTTGGTAAATTACATGTTAACCTAGTCACTTTTAAATCTTAACTGCTGTCTCTTTTTTTATTTCACAGGCCACTTTAAAGCCATATTCTTATTTCAGTGCTTAAACTTCCATCTTTGATGTACAAGCAGACCTCGCCCAAAATGGGAGTTATGTTCCTGGAAATGCCATGTTGGGCAAAATGGGATTCAACAAATAATATACCTTTTATGGGAAAGACAGGGTTGCATTACTGTGTCTGAAATGATCACCCCCTCTTTGTTAAACTAATTCTACATGATTCCCACCTTTGTTATTTTACTAAAAGATGCCGAGTCGCTTCCCATGTCTTGTGTGTGTGCACTCTTTGTTTTACAATACCACCTCAACACAAAACCCCCATCTCTATTACTCTTACCGTGGCACTCGCACTCAACGCTCACCCCGACACTAAATTCCCAGACCGACACTCAACCCTAACACTGTCACTTGAACATTAGTGATTCGCCATCTAGGCATCCAATGATTGGATGGCTAGATTCATGCGGCAATGTGTGAACATTTGCCTTGTGCTGTTGTGCGTGTTGAGTGTTATATTATCACACAAAAAACATACACATACAAAAACATAAGTGGTAAATAAATAAATAAATCGCCCAATGGATGCAACACTCTCAAGACACCACTTTCCGACACGGAGATGAGAATATTAGCGTCAACCCACGTGTAGCCAAAACATTGCCCCCGTGTTCCGGAAAACAGACCTCATTACGTAAACCGTGAATATCCGAAACACGCGTTTGATGAAGCCACATTGGGCAAGGTTTTCCTATACATTTGTGTTTTAAACAATTCTGACGGGAGTCATTGCATCATAAATGTATATCAACACTGTACATGCATATTTTAAATGAACTCCACGATATTATAATCAAGGCATTGAGTATACCTGTCATTTTAGTTTTACTCATGCCAGATTCATCAGTTATTTATCAGTTGTCATGTATGCTTGCATCACACCTTCAAAACTATTTGCATTTTAATTCCTCATATATCACATTGATAGTACTGATAGTGCACGTTGGAATCGTCTGTTATATGCCAATGCTTCTAGATTTGAAGCTTTCGTGACTGCAAGGAATCATATTCTTAGGTTTTTTTCGGTAAAGTCACGTAGGTAAAACATCAAAATTAATAAAAATAAAATAATTAATTTTGATGTTTTACCTACGTGACTTTACCGAAAAAACCTAAGAATACGCCAATGCTGTTGTGTAGAGAGGGTTTATAAGAGATGTAGTATACAGAGACCCTTTATCAATGGACATTTTACCATGACCGTCAAGCCTGGAAAAGGATCCCATCCTCTTTTTTGGCATTACAGTCTATTATAACATTGTTGCTTACAAAATGATAACATACAAAATGAGATTATTATCAATGTATACTGAAGTTGCTCGTGTGTACAATTGTCAATGTTTCTGTTTTGCAGACAGCTGTCTTTATACGAGGGAGACAAAAGTATCTGTACAAAGTTCTGCACCACTGGCATGGATGGAGCCTTAGCAATATGGGATTTAAAGGTACATTATGAAGCTGGTACTCGATGAGTATTTCTTTAAAACTAGTTAACCTGCTACAAGATGACTATAGTGAACAACACTCCAGAATTTAAATTTCGATTTAAAGCTTTCGTGACTGCAGGGATTCATCTTCTTGGTTCTTTCGGTAAAGTCACGTAGAAGGAAGTAATAAAATAATAAAAATAAAACATAATAAAATAATTATCACGACGTTTCGGCCACAACGCAAGCAGCCGTCCTCAGGTGAAGAACAGGTCTGTCGGAAAGACAGCGTCTGAATAACATCGTGAGAATTATTTTATTATGTTTTATTTTTATTATTTCCCTTCTATGTGACTTTACCAAAAGAACCAAGAAGAACACTCCAGAACTTTAAAAGACTATAGTGTAAGCAGGAGTTGTAGTGAACATGTAGGGGGGGGGGATGGAAGGCGTTTTTATTATTCCATAAATTTTCCTGTTCCAGCACAAGTAATTTAACTTAAAGTTTTTTCTCGTATGTATCGTCATGCAGAGCTCACAGTTTGTTATACCGTAGAATAAATAAGATTGCATGCACTCTGCTCAATATGCAGATTTTTGTTGCGTTATTCATTAGGTTGTAAATGGTACACGCTGCTCACACGGTTACTTAAGGTGAAGGAAAATTACATATAGGTGTTATTTGGCAAATGTAATCAGTTTGAAATTATGTTTTTTTAATTGCATTTTTATCTCTTTTTTTTTAGTCACTGGAAGCAAGTGTTCAAGGCCTCCGCATCTACTGATTTCTCCTACTGTTTTGGGGTTTTATTTTTTAACCATCTTTGCAACAAGTTCCAATATATTGCTTGTGTTTTTACTTCAGCACAGAAAAACTGAAGATGGACACTAAATAAAAAGTAATAAATACATAATTAGCAAAACTAAAGAAGCTACGTGAACATTAAAAGGATGCTGCATACTTAATGGACTGGGACTCACTGTGCTGCGACTAGCTGAAACACTAGACCTAAAGAACGGACATCACGCCATTTTTGCCTTGCATCCTCTCCAGCCATGGCGCATGAAGCAAGCACTTGTGTCCACCCTGTCCTTTGACCCTTCACCGCCCTATATTGAGGTGTATTACTGCAATTGGAATACCCATGTATGTATTACAAAACAATAAAATATGAAACTCAGTACCTGTTTATATTTTTTTTCAACATTTCAACCCACTGTTCCTTGGTAAAAGTGCAAGGTGGTATTTCATTTTATTAGCTGGTTTTTTAACTTGCCTAGGCTCGTGTTTTAAAGGTGGTGCAGTACCCCTTTAATTGTTGCCAGTGAAAATCTGCCTAAACAGAACACAATTAAATGCTAATCGTCGTCCTAGAGTGTTGTGATAAGTAGAGTGCATACGTCTCTAATGGCGACAAGATTCGCAAAACAGTAATTTTCTGTCAATGACAGCAGGCGTTTCCAAGAAGTGGGCTGTTTGTACCTTCGGGATAACAAAATCGAAAACTATTTGTATGCATACATTGGAAATCAACTTTTTGGAAAACATGCCACATTTGAGCTTCTTTGTTGAAATATACATTTTTATAAAATACACATTTTATAATGCTTTGAAAGAGTATTAACCATATCAGAAGAATGCATATAACATGACACAAAACTGCAGTTTAACCTGCGAAAAAACATGGCTTAATGTTTCAATCGAAGCAGATTTAACTTGCTATGTATGAACAATCACCAAGTACTCATCTGATGAGAATAGTTTTGGCCAAAAAAGGATGCACGTCAGTACTGTCACTTGCATTGGCTGTATTAATACTGTATACACATCCGTTTATACAGTGACATGCGATTGTTATTTTTCCAACTTGCTTTTATGTGCAAAAAGACAATGTAATGTCTGCTTTTCTTGGATTCAGAACATTTTGGCAAGCATTGGCTGGTGGTATCGCAAGCACCCATGCATTTTGGTGCCATTCAGACCATTCGGCGTAAATTAAGCGTGAATGATAGCAGTGCCTTACATGCAGCTCTCATGACCGCCTGATTGGGGTTGCCAGTGGAGGCTGCCGAGTGGATGAGCGCAGGGTCCCTTTTCTTCATTATGGTCTTCTCTCGCTGCCTCCCTCTGCCTCCACAGCTGCACGGTCATGCAGTGCAGCACCGCATCTCCACCTGCTCTGCCCACATGATTCATTATCATTGTAAAATATCTAAACAGTTATGTTGCAAGCCCTGTAATTGCTCATGCCTCTACTGGTGAAATGGCCTCCACTCGAGTGAGCGCAGGAGATCCTCACAGGATATTTTGTCTTCATTCACACTGATTTTATGATAAGTTTTTTTATTTTACCAGATAAGACCCACTGAGATATATATCTCTTTTTCAGAAGCGACATGGCCACAAATGATAGCTCATTGAAGTGGCTTATGTGGAAATTTATAGCAGCCAAATACTCTTAATTGCATGTTTCTAAATGTGGAGGGAAAACCGGAGGGCCCGGAGAAAAATCCACGTGACCACGCGAAGAGAAATGCAAACTCAAATCTCCAGACGTCGGTATCGAACCTAGGACCTGTCTCCCACGCAAGGTAGTTCACATCTCGCCACCGTGGTACCCCGACGTCTTTTGGAAGAGGTGAGTGCCCACACGGAATGTGAAATCTGGTCGTGAAAAAATATGTATGCTATTTTTATTCTATTAGATCTGGATATGTAAACGCAAAGTAGGTGATGCTGTTAATTGTTAAAATAATTTGTAGCACTTGGGCAATTAAAGCAACAGTCGAGGTGCTGACAATGAATGGTATTTATCTCGGGGGCCGTCCATAAATGACGTCACGCACCTAGGGGGGAGGGTCAGACATTTGTGACGAGGGGGGGGGGGGTTTGAGAAATGTGACGTCACATCAAAATGCGCAACTTTAAATAAATATAGAATTGTTATAACAACACTCCTACAACATCAGAGTGCAGCGCCACATTAAATACGCACTACAAAGACAATAGTTTAAAGCGATTTGAAGCATGTTTTATTTGCAAAATGGAAATATGGTTTTTTGGGGGGGGGGGGGGCAGAGCTTTGTGACGTCATAATTGAGGGGAGGTCTGACTTTTTGTGACGAGGGGGGGGGTCAAAAATCGTCAAAAATCGCGTGACGTCATTTATGGACTGCCCCTAAAGCAATGACATAAATATGCAAATAAGTTTTAAGCAAAGGGCTTGTGCAAACTTACATTCTCATTCTAACCCAGTAACGAGACATACATATTTGTCATCGGAGCAAGTCAGCAGTTTCATAAAGTACCTGCAAAGTACAGCATACAATAGCTGAACATTGTATGTGAAATTATACACAAACGGATTATGCACATGAGAAGATGGTGTCTATGTTAAAATGTGTACAACCCGTTTCGAAAAACATCACTAAAATTTGCATTTTCAGGGATGGATTCATGTTGAAATATTAGATGAATGCCAAATCCATGAAGCATGAAAGAGAACATGCTGGTAAAATGTCAAATCAGAGTGATGTGCTGCTAAACTGAGCATTGAGGTGGTGCTCCTCTGTTCATAGTCAGCGGTGGAGATTCCACGTTCCTGTGGCAGGGGTGAGTAAAAATGATGGGTATTTTTTAAGAATCACGCTGATTTTTTTTATATCCAAAATAGTGCAAACCGTGCTGTTGAATTGCCATTTGCACTCCCACAAGAAAACATTTCATGTGATATGCTTTCCACAACTTCACACTTGCAAGCCTTGGCTGCCTCAGAATTTCCAAGATACCATGCTTCAATTATATTAAAACAAATCATGCCTCATTACATTTACCAACTGCTGAGCTGAAAAATAAATAAACACTCATGCGTGAAAGGTGCCATTTAATCATTTTAAATCTGCTCACTGACTATTATATTCAGAAACGGAGTGAAATTGCTCTCAAAAAAGCAATTCCGGCAAAGATGTTCTTCACTCAACACTTCTGTTAACTGGTAGTTGTCTTCACACTTGGCAGTCCACTTTGAAGGCCTCTATCCATCCCATGGTAAAGTACAACATAACGTATATCATGGTGGTGAGATGTTAACTACATCACCTGGTATACAGGTGGTCGTCGGTTCAATCCCGACCCTGACGCCTGCTGTATATTTGGAGTTTGCATGTTTTCCCCGTGGTCGCGTGAATTTTTATCCCGGTCCTTCAGTTTTTCCATCCACATTTAGAAACATGTGTTTATAGTATTTGACTGCTATATAGTTCCGCATATTAAGCCACTTCGTTGAGCTATCATATGTGGCCAGGTCGCTTCTGAAAAAAATATATATAGCTCAGTGAGCCTTACCTGGTAAAATAAAAAAATATTTATAGTTTACCAACAATTTGTATATAAACCGAATGACTGTATACAGTGCATCAATTCATCTGCTTTACGCTTTTGCTGTCTTATTTTGCTAGGTAACCAGTCGGGTGTCATGCTTCGCTGCTTTATCAGCTCGGAAAAAGCCTCATTAATGAGCTCCATTAGCTGGTTTCCAAATAAAACGGAGATTAAAGAAACGTCCGACGCCATACTTATATGGTTTGTATATATTTCGTATTCCTAGGAATGTTTTGAAGACGAAGGCAAGGGCATTCAAAGCGAATTGACAATACTCTTAGGTTTTTTCGGTAAAGTCACGTAGGTAAAAAATAATAAAATTAAAATTAATAAAAGTAATAATAAAAATAAAATTATAAATCACGACGTTTCGGAGGCAACACAAGTCTCCGTCATCAGGTGGGACCGTCACAGCCAGATTTACTCTATCAAGTGAGGCCTAGTAGACCAGTGTGGGGGGGGGGTGTTTTTTTTAATTACTGACGTTAGCTCAAGCAGGGTTATCGAACTCGGGTCACCAGGTTAAAAGTGCAGCACGAAAAACACTGCACCACCCAACCCAAATGAGCACATGTTCATCTACTGTGCACGTGCATTAACCCTGGTGCATATACAAGTGGATATGCATGTTTATGCAAATACAGTTCCACACGTTAAATGTATCTTTTCTATTATGGTGATGGTAGTAAATCACATTTAAGCTCTGTGGACCTGTAAAAGCACAGATCCCCTCTGTATGCGCACGTAAGATCGGCAGGCTATTAAAACATGCCCTCGGCTAACACTAGGCACCTCGTCGCTAATTACGAAAGCAACTGGCCGATCCCCCCACACACAATTGCAATTTAAGCAAGCATTTTGCCAAAAAGGTCATGTGTGCTACATAAATTAGCCGTGGCATTCAAACAGCACCCATTAGTAAAGGGGCTGGGGGGGAAACGGGTCATTAGATTAAACAAACGTGAGAAAACATGCACGCGTGTGTCACACGGAATGCGTGACGCATGCCGACAAAATAGCGGGTAGTCGTGGAGGAATGTTTTCGATTCACTGCTTTGTATGGACACAGGATGCGGACAGAGCGGAGTTCAAGGCAGACGTCGCTCTGCTCGTGTTCGCTTCGAGGTCACTGCAAAGAGGAGCGAGTACACTTCTACGACTACGGCAAGCTATTACGCGTGGCTCACGTCCACCTGTGTCTCGCTAGGGCCACAGTGCTGGCGTTGTTGCACAGCTTTGCCTCGGAACGCAAATTCAAGCCGGTTCGGAGCGGTGCAATGAACAGCCGAGCGCGCCACGTGTTCAGTTTCATGCGTCTCCGCTGAATAAAAACAACATATATTTTACCGCTGCTTTAAAACGTTATCTTTGTGTTGTGGCATATAGTAAGTCTGGCTGGTAAAATAAAGCTTTTTATTGATTTGTCTTCTCAGACCATTAAAGAGGCCCCAGTCTGTCATTTGCATCATAATAATAATACACCGCTCAAGACATGTAGCCTTAACACGTTCTCCCTTCTGTCGGTATTGTGAGATGTTCTTCCCATCATATCGCCCGTTGTTTGTACCTCGGAGGTGGAAATCCTATGAACAATGTGAGAATGTGTAAAACACTGAAGCACATAGTCAACTACCTAGTCATATTCTTGGGTTTTTTTCGGTAAAGTCACGTAAGTAAAACATTTTAATTAATAAAAGTAAAATAAAAATAAAATAAAAATCACGACGTTTCGGAGGCAACATAAGCTTCCGTCTTCAGGTGGAACCGTCACAGCACGCTTGCTGTATCAAGTAAATGAGGTCATCTCCACACATTTATCTGGTCATCTCCACACATTTATCAACAACCCTACCCTACGAAGGAAAAAAAATATATAGCACTACCAGAAAAGGGCAAAAATATATATAATAAAAAATGTATAGAAGTACCACTGAAAGGTGGCACCAAAACAATTAATCAACGAACGCTTGTTTGTGTTGCGAGTTATATGTATTAGTGGAGAGAAGTAAACATGCTGCGACCCGAGTTCGATTCCCGCTCACGGCCAACACCAGTGACGATTATCTGAACCGGTCCTGGGCCTCCCCTAGGTCGACTCAGCCTCAATAGAGTATCTGGTACGGTGTTGTGTCAACATCGCCTCTGGGAGGAGACAAAGACGGTCGGGCGTGTACCGTGCCAGCCTTCATAGATACTCGCTAACGGCACTTGCCCCAACAATCTTGTTTAGCCTACACTTGGGGAGGGGGGGGGGTCTTTGTCTTAGTATTTATTTGTGTTATTTGTGAAAGAAGATCACCGGACGGCGAGGCGCGTCTTGGCCTCCGGGTGTTGCACAGGTGGAGAGCAGGAAGAGGCTCCCAGCGAGGGCCTCGAGTGCGCAAGAGAGCCACGCCAGGTGGAAGGACCATCCGAATGCGATGGTGATGCCGTGCAGCACCTCGGGGCTGATGAGCTGCGCTGTGTGAGCGACGAGCTGCGAGTAGGCGCAGTAAACGCTCACTCCCACCAGCGTGACGGAGGCTGCGGGTGACACACAGCGTGGATGAAGCTTGCGCGGGGGGCCCGTAGCGTACGTTATAAAGGGGCCCTAAATTAAACACCAAAAAAAATCACGTAAATATTAAAACACAAAGTTTGTTTACTTGCATAGTGAAGTAATTGTATTCTTTTTTTTTATTGCTGTATGGCCAGATAATACGGCAAATCGCTAACATTAAACACCCAGTCGTTCATAAAAGTTGAAGGCGGTATAGTACTATAGTAATAGAGCAAGTGCAGAATCACTGAACCGGAATTGATAGCTTGAAAGCGTTTATCACGGGGCCCTTGAACGTGCGGGGCCCGTAGCATATGTCGCTACTTTTTCTACTAGGATAATCCGGCACTGGTCGCAACAATCTATCCAACCATCAAATGTCCACCGTGATCGATTAACCGCCCGCGCGCACATCTGAGTGCAGCATCCGTACAATATGCCGTTATTCCATGAAAGGGTAAATGGTGTGTTTAGCAGTTTGGTTCGAGACGAGCTTAGAAAGTGCAACATTAAACGGGGGTGATCTTGTGGAGCTCGCTGTCGTCTGCCTTTGTAATGTAAAGACGCGGTTGAAAAAATTACGTTGAATGTGATAGGATCAGGGAGGGGGGGGGGGGCTCATTAACAATCATCTTCTGCATACAAGCTCTGGCTTTAGTAGAATATAGAATGACATTCATCGTGTCTTAGGAAACGTGCAACTTGACACGTGGTTGCTTTTATATGCAATACAAATTGCATTGACATTCGTTGGGATTAATGCTGTAGCCCAGGGGCTCTGATTGTGAGCTCCCCTCCCCAAATATACACACACACCTATACATTGTACCTTATACAACACAATACTGTAGCGCTTGATTAAAGCCATAGCATCAACTCTGTGCGTTATTATCAATTGCGTGCTGAAAATGTTAAAAGTGGGTTGACACTGTTATGCAGATGTTAAATGTGTATATATCACAATTTGAACACCAAACTTGAAATAACCGTGGTGAATAACAATGGAGTGCTTGTCTTGGAACACATGGGTGGTGGTAATACGGTAGAGGAAGGAATTAAATCCATATGTAGTGACATCGTGCGATGTCACTGTGTAGTGCCGGCCCTAGAGGGGCCCGGTGAGCACTGATGGATAGCGCTAGATGGCACCACGCTTGGGGTGCAGTGCCAACCCTACAGGACAGGGTGTGGGAGTGCCGGCCGTAGGAATGAGGTTACTAGAGGCCATGGCACTCTGGTTGACCCGAGAGGACACGTGACCAGTTAAGTCTACAAAGGGGCCCCAAGTGGGGGCTAGGGGTGGTCACGTGGTCGGGGTCGAGATCCTGCTCGAGGATTCTGGAAGGTGGTCGTGGCCAAGGGCGGAGCCGGCCACGCCGCAAGAGAATATAAGCCGGGTCCCGAGACGGACCGGCGTTGTTGTTAAATCTGAAGAAACCTTCGTCTACGTTCTACGTTCTCCGAGTCTCCAACACATGGACCTGGACCCGAGCTGTGGTCCCTGTCCGCCATAGCTCGTTACGCTGTAATTAGTGTAGTAAGCCTGGTGGTCCACCACCAGGCTAACTACACTAGTTACGTTGTAATTAGTGTAGTTAGCCTGGTGGTCACCACCTGGTTAACTACACCAGTCACGTGGTAACTAGTGTAGCTAGCCTGGTGGTCACCACCATAGGTTGTTATTCTGTTAAGGGGAGTTACCTCGTGTGTTGGAGCTAAATAAATGTGTTGCCTCCAAGTATACGTCTGCGACTCAGTTGAACTCACTACACATATACAACGAGGTGCTCCAAAGCTATGACGGCACCAGGCTCACAATAAACTTAATCCAGCCCTGGCGTGGAACACATACTGGGGAGCATAGATGTATTTTACTGCATGACGCTCTGCCAGCCTTCACGTGGTTCCACGGGCTTCGTGACGACTACAACCTGTGTGTGCAAGGTGATGGACCCATCCTGCTGCAGGGCTTCTGAGACATCTGACAGAAGGAGCTGTACTATAGTGTTTGTTCAATGTGTGGGTGGCACAATGCAGGTGGAGGGAATGAACTCCCGAAGGTGTGTTCCGTCATGGCGTTTACCTCCGAAGATAAAGTAAATCCCAGCAAAGCAGATCATGTAGTAGTGATTGATGAGGGCGCTGATGAGAACGAAAATTCCTCCAAACACCATGAGGACCAGGCTGACTGGCAGCACAATCACCACCACCTTCTCCAGCACTGCGCAGTTCAGACATGGCCACAGCAATGAACAACAGCCGCGATTGGCTGTAAACCATCTAAGTATACCATTACAACCGTGTATTAAACCGATCAATTAAGTTCATTCTTGTACATTTCAGCAATTTTTTTCCTGTTAATGAGTATCTTTTCATGAACACGATTAATTTCGTAAAACTGTTGTTCACAAGGGGGAATGCATGTTGGCGTCTCAGATGCTATTATAGATTAGTAGCAACAACACAAAGTGTGTTAAATCTCGGACATAATTCCAAATTCAGTGAACCCGCAAGGATGATGATGATGATTATATGGTTAAAGAAATAGCGTCCTTTTAAAACAGATAAAAGCCCTCTTCACTCTCGTGATTTTACTAATCTAATTCACTCATGCGTCTTGAATACCTATGCATAGGAGCGTGCTGTTTTAATGTTTAATATTGTTGAAAATGTATTCATTGTTATAATCAAGTTATATTTTAAAACCATGCTCACAACAGATTGCTAATATCAATGGATAATTATGTTTGAGTTAATTCATTTGAATAACATTTCAGGAAAAACAATGTAATTATTTGTATGTGGATATACTAAATGGAATTTTAAATCAGCTATATAGATGCTTTGATTATCAATATTAATGAAAATTACTTACGTAGATCATTCTCAAATAGGATTTGTAACCTATGTTGTGTGTAATTTTAAAGGCGATTCCTGTCATATTGTGTCACAATTGAAAGCATATCAGCATTCTTCAAACCTGAACTTGACCAATATATTTCACATGATTTGACAAAAAATATGAAACAATAGAAATACATTCTAGCAATTCTCAATTCATCAATGGACAAATGCCTCCCCATGCCATATCGGTTATGTTTTTTTTACCATACTTCACTTTGCAGGTCAGTGCCGGTTGGTGAAGGGGCCGGGGAGGGGAGAGAGCAGGACTGGCTCCCATATCACTTGCCACTGATGTTAGCCATAGCCAGGAATCAAACTCGGGTCACCTGATTCATAGCGCAGCACGTTGACCACTCTACTTCCGCCCTATCTGACAAAAAATATATAAATTCTACAACGAATAAACCTCAAGAGAAATTTGGCTTCAGAGGAGCATTCAGAACATTGTGTTATAGGAGGTTAACTATTTATTATGTGTGCAGGCTACGATCAGTGTCCCATGTGCCTCTATCCACCCAGCAGTATAAATGCATATTGCCACCTCTTCCAAGACGTCTGATCAGCATAGAAGAATAGGACAACATATATGCTCGAGCTCCCTCGAGCGAAGGCACTTCTGCCAGCAGTGGCATGAGCAAATAATTTTCTCTTGAGCCAACAGACATATTTTGATAAGGAACAAGCCATAAGAAAGTATCTACATGATTACACACACAACTGCACATCTGAATCCTTCTGACACTAACCTGAACATTTTTTTACGAACAATTATTTTTCATGTGGTATGGGGTGATAATGATGTATCCATGGGGGTGATAATGATGTACTGCCATTATTATCGGCAACGAGCACACATTATGTTAATTGCATTGTAGATCAATGGATTTCATCATCGCTGCCTGTCAGATGGATAACATTGGCTAGTAACGGCATGTAGGACCAGTAAATAAAGATGCATGATGATGACAACAATTATAATGGTGATGAAGGGCAATACTGCACTTCGGCGTCATTGCACATCATGCATGGCCATTCTAGACTCTATTAGGATCCTGTATTGGGGTTATATATTCGTTTTATAGTCTTATCTATTCATTACGTACGAGTGATATTGCTCAAAATAGTTGTAGAAAGTTTCCTCCACCAAGGAATTGCGGCTCTACTTCTTAAAATCACGGTTGCCGAGCACAGGCCCAAAAGTCCATAGCGACAAGTGGCCAACAAACAGAAGACATTAAAGTATAACACATTCGTCCTCAATTTGACATGCCCCTACTGAACATCTGTGAAAAAAGCTATATAGCTCATCGGATTCCTCCAGTATAAATACAAATTCTGATAGCGATTCTGGGTGGAGGAATTAAGGAGTGATGTTCTTGGGAAGATAATCCACGGTGGAAGCTCTGGAAGAGGCGACTGACCTCCGGTGAGTGACTGCAGTGAATCAGTGATTGCTGGATCATACGTTAGGCTGTTGGACTGCTAAATCTACCTTTCGTGTTCTTAAATACTGCCAAGCTTGAGGGAAGCTGCCATAATTGTCCGCCTTATACATCATGGTAGCCCCTGCTGGGATATTAGGGCCTTACTCCACAGCATGAATAAAAAAAAACATGTAACATATGACCCAATACTCCTGATGTGAAAATGCAGATAAACTGTAACACTCATAATTGAACATCTGTCATTTGTGTCACTATCGCACACATGCACCTTGTGCTTCACTTGTATTTTTCTGCCTAAGCTTCCCCCGTGAGTGTATGGCCTCTGCCTGGTCAATGAGGGCTTTGCAAAAAATAACACACAAATTTGGTTCAGCGCACAAATAATTTTCCTCAATTACAGCTCTGAGAGGGAGTCAGAAGTGCTGCCTTGTCCTCTGTGTGGACCAGAAGTCATCAGAAGAGTAACTGGAGGTGGGCCATTCCGCATTACGAAGGGTTGGGCTGCTCTGCGAGTGATGTCAATGGGTACTTCGTCTCATTACATGATGCCAGTCACATAATTGGGATAGAATTGGCGAAAAATAATATATACGTAAAAAATAGAGCATGTCATGTCAGCAAGCCTTCACCGTGTTTTTGTCTCTATGTCTTATTGTTTTATAAAATCAAATAAGAGATGCCATCTTTTGAATCAGGTCACGATAACCCTTATTCCATGAGGCATTAGGGCTGTAACTGAATTAGACTTAAAAAGCTTTCTACACACGCAAAAACACAGATCGAGAATTCGGTGAATTAGTCACTTTCTAACCTTAGCAAAATGAATACTTGTAGGTCTTAAATTAATATATATGCTTGTTTTAAGAAGTGAATCACTTTTATTTTTAGTTATGAATTTTGTTTTGTACGTTACATTTACGTTAATCTATTTGTATCCCAGCTCTCCATTGCAAAATTTGTATTTATCTTGTCCTAGCGATTGCAAATTAAATGAAATATTTGAAATACACAAAATAACCTTGCCTGCAATTGAGATTATTTTCAAGAAAAGCAATACGCATTAGTAATAGAATATTGGCTCAGTCCGCTGTAAACAGAAAATCGTCAGGATATGACTGCAACTCAATTAGAAGGATTATCTTGCATCATGCAACGATGTCTTGCATTTTTTATTTTGCAAAAACTATTGGGCAGTCAGGTACTTTGGTTTCACGGGCATTTTCATTGTTATTCAGCTCAGATAATTGTGGCTGCTCGAGTGTATGAGAGCATATATCTCAACAAATGAGATCAATGCAATTTCACATTTTTATTAAAGTTCCACAGCAACATACACTTAAAACAGACACACTTCCTGTGTAGGATTCAGTTCGAAAACATTCTGACGTTCATCTGCAAAAGAAATATGCAAATACACAAAATAAACATAAATAAATGTATAAATGTCGGCTGACAATGTTGTTCATGTTACGTGTCACATACATAGTTTGTATGATGTATAGACGTGCAGCAAGTGATGTGAATGGGCTGAGGTGAAGGAGAATGTAAATAGTATTGGTCTGAGAAGAATGACAGGGGGCTTGAGCACAACGTATGCGCACACCCAACAAAGCAAGTGAAATTGCGACATTTACAGTGATTGCTGACAAGACATTTGGAATGCAACCCAAAGCGACCATCATCGCCTATGAGTCACAAATGCTTTTTCTAAATGGAAACCTTTTGAGATCGTAAATGTCATTGGCTACCCATACAAAAACATATATTTGTTTAAGTGGTACTATATATTTATCATTTACATAAGAGGGAGCTTTCCCATGTGTGTTCTTCAAACAAATTCATAAAGCTGGAATTCTATCTAAGAAAATGCAAAACCAAGTTTGATTTGAAGGTGGTTTTGTGCAGTCATCGGGAACCAGGCTGAGACTATAATCTCGTGACACGTGACCTCTGGCCTCTGAGCAACCTGAACAGCACCTTTATTTTTCTGTTGAAAACAGCTGTCATGGCCATATTTGTAAGTGGATTGAAGTCGCAAAAGAAAGTAATATATTCAATAAAAAAAATTCTATAGGTGTTTCTCAAGGGCAATAAATTAATGGAAAGGACTGCACCTTTTATACATGTTCGAACATTTCTCAGCAAATTTGTGAAATGTGATATTTTGTGTCCTCATCGTGCACCGTGTTTCAGTGTAACTAAAGGGTAACAATAATATCACTGAGCACTTCATAGAAGCTAATTACAGCAAAATACAATGACGAAAAATGTCGTTTAGTGAAATAATACATGAACTGAACTTTGGGTCTTGAATTTGTTTGGACTAGAATAATAATCTTTTCGCGCAACATTTTGTCATTAATTCCGTGCTGCATTACATTTGTGATAAAGCGACACCACTATGTAATTGTTAAATGGCAGGACATATTAAAAATAACAAGAAAAATAATTTCACACACAGTCGCCCTGTAGTACAAGAACATGGCAAATGTTCGCTCAGCATTGTAAATGCACTTTGCATTGCCCTGTGTTAGTTTTCTCTTTTTTGTTTGAGAAATTTTTTCATATTATTATTATACAACATATTCATTTGATTAGCTGTAATTAGCTCCATCGTAACTGTAGTTACTTATTTAACTCAACATGACTGATACCATTAATATATCAATTTACTAATGACTCTTTTACATCATATTTATAGATGTGACCATTATAATATACAAATAGCAAAGTGCATGGTGGGTGCTCCTTGACATAGAGACCATCACGCTATAATGATTCGCTTAAGACACAAGGCATGCTACTTCCTTTTGTATGGAACAGCGCTTCTGCACAATCAATTGGAAATCCCAGCACGGTCATAATGACTGCATAATGACCGTATAATTTAAGACTTCCCTTCTTTGTATGAAGGGCCAATGCGCCATGAATTAAATCCTAAAAGTAGCGGTGACCATTGACTTTTTTTACTAGGATTTGTCTGTCTTTAGACTGAGACTACATGTACCTCATGAATAATCTGACAGCTGTGGGGTGAAATAACGCCAATCACTCTCTGTGCACAATACGTGCCAGATGAGGCCTCATTTAAAGATCAATTAGAAACATCCTGTCGTAGTTTGATTCGGAGAAGGGTTTTACATGTAATTCATAGATGCAAAATGTATCATCTTTTTGTACAATATGTACACATTTTGTACAAGCCATCTAGCCAGCATGGAAGCGTATTCCAAAATACTGAGCAGTTATATCTATGGGACCTTTTTTGCCAGTATCAAAATGATGAGCATCTTAAGACCTGTCTTATTGCCAGCAAAGGTCAATCCTGATTCTTAGTTATTCCAGAATACTGTTACCCTATTGAGTGGCTCTCTAGAGCTCCCTCTTGGACCCTTCCACCAATAGTGGCACGGATCACCAATTGTTGGGCTAGTTACTCAAATGGATGCTACAATGCATCAATTCACAGACTATTCATTATTGATATTTTTTTCATAATCTATGGAATTGCGGTATTAATTTTTTAATCCCTGAAATTCTACTACATGATAATGCTTAACATCATACTGCAAAATGTTGATATTTCTCCACACGTGATAATCATCATTGGAGTACAAGAATATAAATTATTCAATGAATGCAAACAAATGCTACCGTGACATTTAGGCTCACGTGGCAAGAACAACTATTTGTAGAAACGAGACGGAAAATACAATGCATAAATAAGATTATACAAATGACACACAAAGAGTGAATTGTTGACAAAAAAATACGTGGCGCTGAATCGTGACAATTCATTGTATTTCCAGGGCAGGTCTCTACGACCCGTGGGGGATGTGAGTGATGAACACTGAGGACCCTATTATTATCACCCGCGATGTTATCAACGAATGTAATCTATCTATCCCTGAGAAGAAGAAGAAAATAATAATAATAACTAAAATAATAATAGAGAATCACAAATGACAGAAGGAATTTGCTTATGAACTCTTTATCCAAGAATAAAATATATCCGACAATAGGAGACGTGGATAATACGCTCACAGATAAGAGGAATCCTTATTTTCTTGTAACTTAATGTATCTATAGACCGCTTACGTAGCACATGCACTGCATCCAGCATAATTGTAGACTATTACTACTGCTGGGTATGTTTAGCTGTTGAGGTTAGACATTTTTACAAACACTTCTGAATATGTGGACAGTCTATTCCTTTGCCCGTATGGCTCACTATCCGATGTCTCGTAGTTTATTTCCAATTAAATTGCAGCGTTGTTCCTGTGGGTATTATTTCGGATAATCACTGTCACAATTGAAGAAAAACGCAACTACAACGTTGCGTTAAATGTCTGTTTAATGCACTACAGATGCCAAAGTGATATTCAAGTCCACGCATGGGGTACGGATGGAGCATGTGGGCCCGAAGCTGGAGTGGATTATTTTGGCACCATTCGTGCTATCATGGCTGTCCACTAATCCAGAGGTCGCCGGTTCGATTTGATCTCCCGGGACAGCGATTGAAGCAATGGGTAGGTTTCCTAAATCCCTACCTGTTCAGCGAGCGACAAATGAGTACATCACAGTTAGCCGATTAGCGGGTTGAGCGTGGTGGGGTAAAATCTGGTTACTCAAACCTTTACCGAGACGTCTTAACATCATGGCAGAATAAACATCGATAGCCTCTAGGTCTACTTTTAAGTGGAGGCCCTTCCACCAACAGGACCGTGAGCAAGCAAATGCAGGGCTGCACCTTTACCTTTCACCTCTGGTGACCATCGGATACGAGGGGTAAACAATAATTGGAGCTTCACCGACTGCCCAATTAGGCGTGGGGTTTTATCTCTTAGACAGGTGCCATTGTCGTTCTCAGCTGAGTGGCCACGTGTATCAGTGCACTCACGCATGCACCGTACCACGGATGGCTATGTACGGTGCGAAGGAAGTTCTACACACATACCTACAAACGCATTTTTTTAATGTAGAGGGGAAAATCCGGAGGACCCGGAGAAAAATCCACGCGACCTTGGGGAGAACACGCATACTTCAAATATACAGGCATCATCAGGGTCGGGATAGAACCTACGACCTCTTGCATACTAGGCGAGGTAGATAACATCTTGCCACCGCGACTCATAGCTGCAGCATCCTCTGTTCACTCAGGTATATGGGCCAGGTATTCAATGTGCACGTACAACAAACAGGTTTTAATAAGTCAAAGTGATTTCCTGCTCAAATGAGAAGCAAGGCGGTACTCATCCCCAGCTTACGGCCCTGAGTTGGAAATTCCACATTGCGTTAGCAGAAAGGAATGGAGAATAGAGGACAATCACTGTCTTCGTCTCTATAATGGTGTCAAATATTTTATCGACCCTGGAGTTGGGTATGATGATCGGAGGAAATAAATGAAAGACCAGAACATAAAAGAGCTTTCTATCAATAAAAACATACACTGTACATGAAATACAGCGACAGTTTTACAATGCATGAAGATTGTGAGTGAATTATCTTCAATCTCAATTGATATCACTGTGTCTTAGATTGCTGTATTGGGGCCAATATGCAAACAGAATGCCTTAAGCATTAATATTGACAACATGAATACACACACAGAACTGTACCTGGGATCTGCCGCTGGAAGTCCGAGTACAATTCCACCTCCTTGCTAAATGGATTGACGAGCGACTGGCAACCCCTGTGGACTGAGAGAGAAGGGTGACATTTCGATCGCTTGCAAATGGCCTCTTCTTCATTCGCCACATTGCCAAGCGAGCAAGTGAGTGAGCGGGCACGCCGCAATCCTCGCGAGCCCGAGAGGGAGGCACACGCGCCCCGTGGCAAGTTCGTCCCCATGTCGAGCATTAGTCAGGTCACACTTGTGGCCCAAGCACTTCTCATTTGCTGTTCCGGAGCTGGTAATCATAATTGACATTGTCGGGGTTCACATGAAGTACATCTTAGCCCACTGTTATCACGACTGTGTGGAAGAGAATGAGCTTGGGATTTGTGCCCAACAAAGGTCTATCTGTTGGCAAAGAGTCGAATGAATGTTGCTCAAATATCATGTGTACCTCTACAATTTTTTTTACGAGCGATAACCCCTGGAAAGCGACAGACGTGGATATAATTGCGTGTTATTTCTCGATCTTATGTGTGTTGGCTCTTTTTTCTTTATGGAAGTGCAGTCCATTAACTGAAAAGAAAAAACCCAATGTGGATTAGATCTCTAGCATATCACACGCATCGCATGCCCTTCAAGGATTACCCAAGGTGCAGGCACGCGGCTTGTGTGTGGATTTATATTTACGAGAATTATAAGTCCCCGGGACGTGCGTGCAAATACAATGCAGAGGATTATCTCGCATAGAACATTCAAAAGCCTCCAACCACAACCCTTTCTATTGGAATAAAGCCCTATCTGCCGTGTCGTATACATATTTAAACGGGTCAGTGATTAAACACACGTTCACCTACTTGCATCACCTTTGTATTTACATCTTCGTAACCGCAACAGACACATGCTTATATATCAGGTTACTTAATAATGACAGTAATATTTAGAATATTATACTTTGCAAGGTATGTATGTCATATCTGTTACTAGAAATTGGTAGCAGGAGTTTGGCGGTCTCTGTAGCATTTGCATGCCACAAAGAAGCTCATTACTCGGTTCACTGATCATGGGGATTGTACATGTGTGAGTGTTACAACCACATGGAAGTTTAGACTGACTCTGCCCCAAAAAGCATTTGCTATTCAGATTGTTCAAGTTATAAGCATAGACTCCACTATATTTGCGTCACACTTACATGTTCTAGCCCTTTCAGAGCAATGCTAGAAGTGTACATCAGTCACTCAGTCACAATTGTCTATGTAGATTGGATTTAATCTTGATTTGAAGCTTGGCTTTGTCTTTTATTACCTTAGTGGCAATGCCAGATTTATATCACGAGCCTAATCAGGTCAATACATACAAAAGCACCGTATAACAACATAACAATTGCAATTGTAATACATGTGTTTTGGACCATTTCAATGTTGTATTCAAATTTAAGAAAACCAAGATTCCCTAATATATATTGTATGTCCTAATTATTTTAATGTATTCAATACATACAATCATACATCATAAAGTAGAACAGTTCCCCCCAAAATTCCACACATTGGCATGGAAGTACAGAACATTATATGCATAATCACTCACTTTCCACTGTCAGTGTGCCATTTGAAATTGTGCAACACAATGAACCATCATGACTATACAATTTAGTTTAATACAGCTTCAAGAGGTAACTCAACCTTGATAGGAAACTCAAGCAGACAAACAGAGCCGTGGAAAAATTACAATAACAAGATTAATTCTGAATGAGAACAAATTGCAAGTGAAAATGCAGTACTGCACGAAATTCAGTACAATGTAGTATATTCAAAACATTCATGCAATGGAACATATGATAATACACATGTGGGTGTATATACCATGAACGTGTTTGGAAGCTATAATCAAATGAAAGTATTTAGACAGCTTGGAAAATTAGCAAGAGGCAAGCGGAGGATTGTGGTTGCAGGGCATACTGTGAAACACAATTATCTTATCGCTCCATCACGTCGTTACCACCACGCGCTTCTGACAGCTGCAGCCAAATCTGAAATGGAGTACAACTTTAATTTGATCTATTCCCCCATATTATCCCTCGTGCGTTCAGCATCCTGTGAAGCGAATATCACAGGGCTACCTACCTTTGAGATACTATCAAGTGGCATCAGCTCCGCAGTAAACGGCAGTGCTTTTCCACCTACTCTGACACCAGGAGTCATGTTCATTACCTGAAAATTAAACCAATAATTTTAATTCTCAGAGCTGACATTTAGCGAGCCTAGGCGCAGAGCCACATTGCATGCCTGGTATCACTGTTTCATTGAAAACCAGCCAGTCTCATGAAATGTTTACACAAAGACAAATGCACATGCACACAAACCGTGACTCAACTGAAAGGAGTATTAATGGATTTACAACTAATTTGCAAGAATTAACACACTCAATATGGGTCATTGAACCACATTTACAATAGGTTACCCATACTCGACATTCCACAAGTGGTCAAAATGTAACAGAGTGGACAACACAGCGTGACTCACTGCAATTAAATCGTTCACACTAAACAACACGGATGTCGTTGTAATGAAAGGCTATTATCATAATCAGACATAATCTATCCAATGCTGGATGAAGGCATCGCCGTCTCCATCTCTCACACTCCTAGCTGCTGCACACAAGCTGACTCCATTGCACTATATCCCCAGGAGACATCCTTTGACGTTGATCCATCCGTTGGCTGCTGCTCCACGGCCATCGTCTCTCGTAGCGACACGTCCTGCCCAAGCCCAATGACTTTTCTCAACAACCCCATGTGTTCGTCTTCCTGTCTCTCGGTGTCATTCCAAGCATGCACCTCTCCATGCTCTTTTGCACACCCCTTCGCTCATGTTGAACTTGATTTGTCAATGTCTGTGTTTCGGATCCACATTTTCATCGCTAATAATACACCCTGATTAAAAACCTTCTCTCATTTGTATGTTGTCGGCCATTATTAATATTTACAAAAATACTACATTCCGCTTTCACATATTATGATTCCGGTCTGCCTTTATTAACTATCATCGGTATATGGACTTATATTCAATTGTTTAGTGAACTTGTTTTGTTCATGTTTTTGTAAATTAGAGGGCAAGATGCAAAAACAATGAAAGAAATAGGAGCATGAATGATAACAACACTGATTGGGAAAAATTATGTTCTCTCCACACAAAATAGTTTCAGATGCATCAAGTGGATAAATGGTAATCTGTTTATGATTGGTTTGAAGTGGAACTTGCTTTTATCATTTAATGGCTGTTCGAAAGCCAACACTTTCTCGACTCATCAGGACTAATGCTGCTAGCACAATACTTATTCTGTACGACATCACATATATTCTATACACAGTGATGGCATTTTGTTCGTGAAACATTTACCTCTAGGTACGATATTGTACTCGAATACAGAATGTGATTAATGTGATTCATGTCAAGACACCTCATATGAGACCAATCGCATTTTCTGACTGACATTCCGCTAAGATACCGGCGTAACCACGAACCACATCAAAAGGCCACTTCCCACATCTCATTCGCAAATGAAAAATTAAGAACAAGCCAAAGTCTGTCTGTGGGCATGCAACCCAAACGATGGGACACAAGAGTAAACCACTGTAGTTTGCGCTGCTTCACGGATGACGTGGGAAACTACATGCGCTCTCTCTCTCCTAAAGCCCTCTCGTGACGAGCAGACCTCGACACTGACATTGAGCTCCTAGACATATTACCAGCGCAAGAATAGAATGGAATGTCAAGACGTTAATTGCATAATGAGTTTGTAGCTGTTGGTGCTTTTGTACCAAATAATTGAATGTCAAAGCTAGTTGGCTGATACACATATTCTTCTCATTGTGCAAAGCATACCAGAAAACGCACCTGACCATTAAAACAAACTCAATGGCAGTTAAAATTTCGATTTAAAGCTTTCGTGACTGCAGGGATTCATCTTCTTGGTTCTTTCGGTAAAGTCACGTAGAAGGGAAATAATAAAATAATAAAAATAAAACATAATAAAATAATTCTCACGACGTTTCGGCCACAACGCAAGCAGCCGTCCTCAGGTGAAGACCAGGTCTGTCACACCACCACGCTGTGGTGGTGTTTCATTCAGACGCTGTCTGCCCGACAGACCCGGTCTTCACCTGAGGACGGCTGCTTTGGTGTTTCATTCAGACGCTGTCTCCCCGACAGACCTCGTCTTCACCTGAGGATGGCTGCTTGCGTTGTGGCCGAAACGTCGTGAGAATTATTTAATGTTTCATTTTTATTATTTTATTATTTCCCTTCTACGTGACTTTACCGAAAGAACCAAGAAGATCAATGGCAGTTTTTTGTTATATATTTGTAGAGCAGAAATTGTTAAACACAGTATAAAAATAAGATACAAAAGCTAAACACACAAGTACCATCGGAAGTTGAATGGTAAATGTAAACCAATGAAAGCATAACAATGAACGAAACAACAGCACGGAAATGTGGATACAATATGAAAAAAAATATCTGATTGCAATTAACCTTTAATGATGAAATGTGCCATTTCACGTGAATAATACACCTATATACTGTACTGAGTTGTAATTTCTACAGTTGTAAAGTGATGTATTTTTCCTTTAAAATCTAGTTGTACTTGATACTCTGGATACACATTTGACGTATTGAGTTTCAATATTACAGGCAGTTGCTTAAAACGGGTGACACACATTTACGGGAGTATAAATTACAAGTAAAAAAATATATATTTTGCAACACAACTAATACCGATCTTCTAATGCTCATCCTAACCATCGCAGTAGGGAGAACAAATTATGGCATGCGGTAATGGATGGCAGTTAGCCTTTAAAATGACTCTTTCCTCTTGTGTTGTACTTGTAGAATTGATATAACATTGATGGCAGCCATTACCGACCATTCTTGCCCCTGCTGGTTCGAAGCCATGAATGTTGCTCCCAAAGAGAACAGCTCAATGATTTTCTATTCGTCCCTTTGCCACACTCTCGCTTTATGTGAGCACCGTCTACCTCCTACTGGTGTCGATTTGGAGAGGAGAGAAACAGGTGGAAATAAT